ACCCCAGCACCTCAATGTCTTTACTGAAGTGAGGGGTCCAGAACTGGACACAGTACTTGAGGTGTGGCCTCACCAGTACAGGGGGATGATCACTGCCCTGGGTCCTGTTGGCTGCACTGCTTTTGATGCAGGCCAGGATATCCCTGGCCTTCTTGGCCAACTAGGCACACACTAGCTCACTTTCAGAAGCTGTCAACCAGCACCCCCAGGTCCTTTTCCTCCAGGAAGCTTTCCAGCCACTCTGCTACAAACCTGTAGCATTGCATGGGAATTGGAAAACAATGTGCTTTGCACCCAGACCTTCAACCAGGAATAAAAGTATTGGAAATACCTTCTACAGGCGCGCAGTTTAGCATTTTGCTCAGAGGACCCTGCACAGAGACACAGCCAAGTTCAACATAGCATTTAAAGACTGCCACAACTGAGACAGAAAAAAAAGTGGGGTCCTCACTGTTTAGAGAACCATCTTCCATGTCTAAGTAGTGCTTGTTATAAACAGGAAGTGAACACAGGGCATACACATCTGCGGGGAGGAAGGGGTGAGGATGCATGAAACAAACAAACAAGAAAGCCTAGGAATCTGCTTAGGATCATATTAAAAAGAACGGAAAAGATAGACTGGTGTCAGCATAGATGAAAAACTGGGGTAGTCCAGGAACAAACATGAACTGCACTAACCAGTGTCTAGAGTGGAAGGAACAAACAGTATTTCTTTACAGAAAATCAGAACTAAAAATATTCTCACAGAAGATGAAGGTGAACACAACTTCACTGGCACAGTTTAAAGCTGCAATCTTCTACTTCTTACCAATTTTACTTCTGCAATACCAGCATGCCTTCACCTGTAGAAAGCTTGTTTGTGGCCCCAGAAACTTGCAGTAAAAAGAGGGTTTGAAATGAGAAATGGAAGTTTAAAATTCATACCGAAATCAGACTTGGAACTGTTCAGTTGTTTCTCTCCCCTTAGAGCTGATGACTGTAGTGTAACTCCCCATATTCCCATGCTTACATCTTTCTAGCTAACAGAAACATTTCTTTGTCTACTGAAGAAACCCAACCTACCACTTACATTGAATTTAAGCCTACTGCTAACGTCTGAGGCACGTGACTCAATGCAAGTCTTCTGCTCCTGTGAATGCTGTCACAGCTCCTACTTTACCTTAGAATTGAGGTGAACTTGTGATTGAACTTCAGTATTTATGTCCAGAATCCTATTTTGAACTCTGACAGCTACTAGTGGGAGCAAAGTCAATGAACCTGCTTTAAGGCAGCAACTCTTAATGTTACATAAGTGATGTTTCCTCCTGCCTGCTTTCCTCTCAATTGGAATAATTTAAAACTACAACTTCCTTGGTACAAAGACTAGTCTTTCTCCACAAAATATAAATGTTGTGTCAACTCTAGGCCATGATCAACAAACCTTACTCTATCTGGTAAACATGAAAGTAAGTTTTCTTTAAATATTAAAACACCAGTTTCATATCCCCAAAAGCTGTTGCTGCACAGTATATGGGGCTCTAATCAAAAAGACCTAATCAAACAGCAAGCACTGTTCAATGAGACAGTGCTCAACCAGCACACAACTAGCAGAAGCCAATATAGCTTGTCAAATTCAAAGGACTCCATAAGTAACTTTTGTAAATAGGATTAATATCCAAAGCGATATGAACTGTGCAAAGAATAATGTAGTTTAAGATACAAAAAAATCTTTCGAAAGACGGAAGGGAAATCCTACTCTTGCATAATGTTGACAGAGAAGTATGTTTCTACAATTTTCAACACCCACTCGACTCCTTCCTAGTTTCAATAGGCTAAATAAAAAATATAGCTAGAAAATAATAATAATACAGAACCACAAGAGAAAAGCAAAGCTAGACATGCTTGTTAAAAAAAAAGCCTTTATAAACAATTGTGACCCCTTACTTAAAGACTAACCACAGACGCCGAAAGACTAGTTCAAGTGCTGACAAACATATCCTGTGACTGTCTAACATATATTGATGTCAAAACCATTTTTCTGCAACTGAAATCCTAATGTTCTGTGCACACAACAGGATTTATAGAAGAGCCATCTATCACATAAAATGGTCTCATATACTGATGGAAATGACAGTGCTATAGCTTGTTGATTTTCCCCCTTCACACATTTTTAAAACATGGTCCAACTGTAATGTCCCAAATCCCTGATTAGAGCAGTGAAGACTGTTTTAAAAAGCATGAATATTTATTTCTTTAAATATTATCACTTCCCTGGCATCTGACATATTTACTTCCCTCTCTATCTAGCCTACACTTTTTATTTCCTGAACACACAGGAAAGGACTATAGCAACCAATGGCTTGTTTTCTCTTCTATCTAATCTGAACTGTGTAAATTCAGCATGGCAAGCAGACTTGCTGTTCCCTTACACAGCTTATAGACTCGATACCTGATAATAACCAGTGAAGAAAAATTAACACAGCTTGACCAAATGCACCACGATATTCCAGACATTCCAGCAACTGCAATCTAAATGCCACCAAAAGAGACAGCATTACACTGCTGTAGAAAGTATTTCACCACATACAGCTTCTATATTTATGTCTCTAACATTTACAATCCTAAGAAATTAAATGACAATCTCACAGGCGAAACTGGTATCATGGACAGAAGAAAGTCAGACATACAAGTACAGAGATATTTTGAAGTATGCTAGAAGGCAATCCATTCTTGAAAATTACTTGTAAAAAATTTAACACAACAGACTCCATAAAATTTTCTCTCCTCAAAAATTAGAGATTTGGCAAAATTAATCTTATTACTTTAATCAGCTCTGAAAGCCACTACCAAGACAGCCTTATTCTTTCTCTTCCTTCTTCCACCCATTTCCTCTTGCTGTGTCAAGCACTCATACTGTAGACATTAAAATGACCTTATGCAAAAAGTCAGAGCAGCGATCCAGTTTGTCATGCCACTAAATGGAATGGAAAGGGGTGGTGGGAGTAGGGAACCTGTCCTTTTGAGGACAGTCTGCATTTTATCAGATCAAGCATACCACAAAACTGCACCCTACCAAACTAGTGAGAGACATCTATATTAGACATATCTAAGTCAGCATGAGGCAGGTTAGGTAGGGTGAGGCCTTTAACTCCTTAAGAATCTTATTGCAAAATAGAAAACTCCATTAACAACTTCACTGGAAAAACCTACTCTTCAGGTATATTCAGCTGTTAAGAGCAACACCACATCCTGTTAGAGGCCTGCAGGTTTTCTCAGTCCTGATTGTCGTCAATAAGGGTTCACAACAGCAACACTTTTCTTACTGTCTTCTTCAATTGAAGCAAGCTCTTTTCAAAGAGGCTCAGCAAACTGCAGGGCAGAGGAAGTTCTTCCAAGGATGAAACTGTACATTCAGAGAGCTTTAGCAGATTTTTCTTCTGTAGGCAGGTTGAGATTGATGGTTTAAATGGTCTAAACTGGGTTTGCACTTACTCGCGTTTACATTAAAAACTTGTTTTATGAGCTATCTAGTTAAAATACTTAATTAGGTTATGTATTTAATTAATTTTTTTACATCAGTACTTCAAATAGTATTCCAAATACAAAAAAATATTGAAGTTCAGATATATTTAGGGATCAGATAGTCCTGCTTTGGGAGACACCAACTAGTCTTGTCTATCGAATTACATTCATGGTGATTTTCTTAACTTCTAAATAAGAATTCAAACTTTTACATTGGGAGACAATACACACACGTGATAAACAGCCATGGCATTTTCTAGACCAATTCCTTATTTAAAAAAAGGAAACCCTGAAAATAATGGTTTAAGTTTTGGCAAAAGAATGTCAGTTCACTGAAAAAACGCCACTTCTAATCCAGGATTTAAAACTGCGCAACTTCCAATGGCTTTTCATATATTTTTAGGAAAAAACTGTGGCTGTTACTGATTTTTTAAAAACTAACTTTGCACTGATTTTTTCGGAAAAAATACAGGAGCAAAAATGTACGCATCGATGACTACATGCACTAGCAAATTGAGAGTTTGGCTGCTGGGAGTCCTATAAGGGAATGCAGTGGATGCCACGTTAGAAGAGGAAGAATGTTGCGTGGGACTGTATTATAAAACTGCTTTTATTCATTAATATATTGCTAACCCATGCAACCACAAGGTAAACCTGAGAGCATTTCAGTGCTATTTCTTTAAAGGGTAAAGGGTTTCCTGCGCGTTTCAGCCTACGCAAGCACCTCCTCGGCGGCCGCTGCAGGCCGGACACGCCGCGCCGCCCAGTGCCACGGGCACGGCGGCTCCGGGCAGGGCCGCGCCGCAGCGGAAGGAGGCCGGGGCGGGAGGGCTGTGCATCGACAGGGATGTCCCCGGGCGACGGCTCTGGCCCGGCGGCACTCACGAACATTCTCCCGAGCTACAGCAACCACGGGATCCCGCCCAGACACAATGCCCAAGGGCAGATCCACGGCCCTTTCCAGCCACGGGAGCGGCTACCTTCCTTCCCGACACCAAGAGAGCGGTGCGCAGGTTCATGGCGGGAGGGCGCGGACAGGAAGAGAAGGGCGGCTCTGCCCCGCTCCCACCTACGCCCGAGTTCTCTGTCTGAGGGCCCATACCCGACTCCCAAATCATCCACGTGTCAGCAGGCACCGGGCTCCGTCGCGCCCTGCACGGGGACGGCGGGTCAGGCCGCTGCGTCCTTCCCTCACCTGGCTTGGCCGGTTTAGGCGGAGGCTTGGACATGGCTGGAGCCGACCCTAGCGCGGACGGGGGAGCGGCGGGCCGGCGATCGGCTGCCTGCAGGTGGGCACTCGGTGCGGGGCGGCGGCGCAAAACCCCTCCGGGCTCCCGGGAGCGGCGCGCCGCGGCGACAGCAGCGCAGGGTGGGTGGATCGCTCCGCCCCGGCGGCCGCAGGCGCGTCACCAGCCCCGGGCGGGACGCAACCAATCGGCACGGGCGCTGAGGGTGAGGCCCCGCCCCTCCCCTCCGCTGAGGAGGCGGGCAAAGGGGGCACACGGCAGGGGTGGGGCTGGGAGGTTTGAGGTGTCCGGTCCGGCGTCTGCGGGGGGCCTGATCCCGATCCCGATCCCGATCCCGATCCCTATCCCAGGCTGGAGCGCGGTGCGCGCAGGGCCGCCCCTTCTCGGATGTACGCGCGCCTTGGGCAGCTCCGTAATAGGACGTAAGAGGTGGGCTCTCCGCTCTGGACACCCTCCCAGTGTGGTTAAAGTTAAGTGCGAACCGCAGAGACTGAAGTGTTGCAGCTGCTGGGAGAGGTGCCGTCTGTGGCGACCGGCGCGCGGACCCCCGGGCCCCTCCGCCAGTCCCGGTGTGTGGGCTTGATGCCTGGGAGAGACGCTCCCTGTCCGGCTGTGGTGGTGCCTAGAAGGAAGCACGCTTCAGTCCCCGTGCCCGCGAGTTTTGACCCGGTATGCTCTTAAAAATGGGGTGACGGCAATGCTGTGCTAGCGTTGTCATGGGTTTTAGTTCTATTTAGAGATGCTAAGCTCAAGCCCAGACAAAGTGGAGTAGGGTTTCTGTGTTGCAACACTGATTAAAAATTTGCCTTTGCAATTTGTGTTATACTTTACTCAGAGGTCAGAGGAGTTGATGGGTTTTTTTGTGCTAGTGTTTTTTGCCTTAGACTGGGATTAATTTACATATAGACGATGACATAAATTAAAGTCCAAAGCTCAACACGTGTGTCCAGTTACTATTAAGTTTGTTGCATAGCGTGCTTTGTGGGACAAAGGGTAATCCTCTGCAACACAAACCTTACTGATGATTTTTAGAAAAAAGCATTCTTGTTTTGGTTTTTGTGGCCTGAGTATCATCACTTCCTGAGAACAGATCATCTGTTTGCACCCTTTGCACTCATAGCTAATACCATAAGCATGCAATCGTCTTTGAACTTGAGAATTACAATATGCTGAGAAAACCCATGTGTACTAACTTAAAAAAACTTCCCAATGCAAGTAGATGTGCAGCACCATTACAAAGCAGTTGCTATCATATGGGTGGTGGCTTGACTAGTCGGTATGTCTTTTGTTATTGGGTTTTTTTCAACATAATAATACATAAAAAGAACCATGCCAAGATCACATCACAGACCTGTGAAACAGTTGAACATCCAGTCATTGCACCAAATGCAAAAGGATGTTATTATTTCAGACTCCGTATATGCCTAAAACTTACTTTTCACAGAAATAGTGTGGTTTTACTTTCATACTGATGCCCTGTAACAGTCTTTTTTTAGTGTACTACAGATACTTCTTTGTTGGGGTGGGTGAGACAGTTTTACCTGCTCCATCCCTTCAGGTCTTAGGTGTCATAGACCTTACCTCCTTAAGTCTGACCTAGGAAGACAGAGCAGTTGAAAAAAAGGGTGTTTGCCTGTGGTTAAACAGTTATAAATTGATGTGTGCTCATGGAAAGCAATGTCTAACAAATGTTAAACTGGTTTGATGAACCATAGACTAGTGGTGCTGCCAAGACAAGCAGCCCTGTTGCTGCCAAGAGAACAACCTGTCCTGCTACGTCATACCTTTGCAGACATGGGAAACTGGATGGTGTACTGGAGGGAATTTGTTCAGCTGAAAACATTCTTCCCCACACTCTTTACAGAACTGTTTTTCAGCTGCGGTCCTTTTCCAGTATAGTTCTCTAAGTACTCTGCAAACACCCGTTCCAGAAGAAAATTCAGGGGAAGGAGTTGGGGCAAGACAGGATTGTGTCTTCTGGCAGCACTGACCACTGAAGGTGTTCAGCCAGCCAGAGCCTTAGGGTTGGTTTCTTGGCAGCAATGGGGGTATGGATGGCTAAATTAACCTTTATAGTTTCACTCTGATTTTTTCTGGAGAAAATCAAGTGCTACCTAGTCCTTCTCAGTGCTAAGTCAGCTAGGATGGCTTAAACAGCCTTTACACTAGTTTTAATGCCTTCAGATTAATCTGTACGAGAGGAAGAGTCCGTGTGTGGTCTGTGCTGTTAGTCCCCACAAAAAGGTAGTGGTGAATTACACATTGAATATTACACTGCTGAGACTAGATTCATAGAAGAATCTTTGAAGATACTCTTTGTTATAACTCTTCATGAACTTTTAAAAACATCTTTCTTCTCAGGATGTCACTTGTTTCTTTTTTAATGACTTTGTTTTACCACCACAGCCTCTGTTTACCTAGTCTTTTTTATACTGTTAGTCCTTGAGCTAGTGACTGTGCTTTTCTTTAAGAACTTGGATGATATTAATATTTTTAGAACTGGGTCTCTCAAAGTTCTTTTCAAATTATTAAAATACGATCGAAGGTAAAGTAAATTTAAATTTACAATGTGGCATATAAATGGCAGGTTTTTTGGTAGCATTAGAACAAACAGTTGAGATTCTGACTGTAGCTTTGCAAAAAGAAAAATAATGGACAAAAGGACAGAAAATAAATCTTCTCTATAATTGGTATTTCTTAATATGACAGCTGCTTTCCTAGTTGCTGAGTTAAGAGTTTTTCACTGTTTTCTGTTCTTGACAGAAAAAAGGAAGAGCTGAATATGAAAGTATTGGTTATTGGCCTTGGAGGGTAAGTATGACAAAATTAAATTTCCTCTACAGCTTAAGACTGGTCTTCCTTCCAGAATGAAGTGATATAATTTCTATTTCTGAATATAATTTTTTTTGAAACTGGATTACAAATACAACTGTATGATTTTAAAGCATGTAATTCTTAACAAATTGTTCTGTCTCTGTTGGAGGTCTCAGGTACAGGTGTCTCTAGCCTCTTTCTTGGCACTGCTAGATTTACTGTCTGAAAGCTGTTGGAACATGCCAAAAAATTTCTATAGGTAGAGAGTATTTAATGTGAATAAACTTTTGGGGAGGGGGTTGTATTGTTTCTTTGCATATAACTATATAGAAATGTATGTGTGAGCTTGTACATATGTTTAAAAGATTAATTTTTGTCTCGATGAAGTTTTTACAATGTTTTCTAACAGCGTAACAAATGGGGGGAAAACAACGCTGGCAGAAAAGCTTAAGAAAATGCTTCCCAACTGTGATATAATCTCTCAAGATGACTTCTTTAAGGTAACGGTGTTGATGAAAAGACCTGATAAGGCTTGAGTAGATTTTAGTATCTACTAAATTGAGTAGATTTTCGGTTCTCTTGATGAGCTTTTAAAATTGATGCTGCTTAAAATAATGTTAACTTCATGAGAAGGAGAAATAAAATTTCAATTACTGGGGTAATTGAAGTCTCAATGGCCAAACCACTGAGTAAACTCAGCAAAAAGAAGCTTACTGTCTTCTTTGCTACCCTTTTAAAATAAGGAGTGCGTGTATGTTGGGTGCATTTTTCAAGATCCCTTGTGCTAATGAACTTAGTAGTTCTGTGTTAAGCAGTAAGTAGTTCTTTGTCTCCAAAATCAAAACAGGAAAGCAGCTTGTGTATTGATGCTGGAGGTCTTTGTTAAGGAGGATGAAGGAGCTCTTATTTCTTAAGTAAAGCTCTAATGAACTTAAGTCATATGCTTTGGAGTATCTGTTGTTCTAGATTAAATAAAGTTTTTGTATTTTAACAGTTGTATACAGCAGTTTAATGGTGAAGATAAATTATATTAATTGGGGTAAAAAAGTGTAAAATCCTGTGTTTATTAGTGAAGTGTATATATCTGTGACAGTGATCATAAAAGCAGCCTTGAAAAAATTCAATTTTTTTCTCCTCCAGCCGGAGTCTGAAGTAGAAACAGATGAACGTGGATTTAAGCTATATGATGGTCAGTAACTCTGATGCATTGCTTTTGAACATTGTACTGAAATTCTGTTGTGCTGAGCTTCCAACATTTCTTCCCCTACATCCCCTGCCCTTCTTCCCCTCTAAGCAAGGCACTAAACAAAAGGTTGTTTCAGAGAACTCCTTTGCTCAGTTTCCTTCAGCTCACTGAGAAAACTTGCTTAACTAGTAAATAGCTCAATCTTTCCTTTAGCTTAATCTTTCCTTTTCTCTTTTTAATCTTTTCCTCTGCTTCTTCACTTGTATCTGGTGCAATAGCAAATGGTACGGTTCAGTTAAGTCTTAGCTTGCAGCACTGGCGTAAGTTTAACCTCATCACTTTCTATGTAATGGATTTTTTTTCACTTTGACAAGGAACTCATGGGATGTCACTACTGAGTTTTCCAACTCAGTCAAAAATGGCATCTTAACCTGACACCTTTTTTCATTTCAGATCTCACATAAAGAACAAATGTTTTTAAGTTCACGATTAATGCTGGTTCAATGTGTCAATTTAGTCTTATAAACTTGTAGATCCAGATCCACTTTAGGCCAGTGCTTTGATTCAGGTTATATCTAGTTGTGAACGGTTGCTTAGTGGCTAAATTCTGTTGATACTTGGTGATCACAAAATACATTACCCAAGACATTGGTCAGACCCTTCAATTGTATCTGAAAAATGATGCTTATGAGCTATGCAGTCTTTGGCTCAACTTGTAGGCTTCATGAAAGTGGAATGTGGAACTGGAGAGATAAATTGGACATTCTGGCTCAAAGATCCAGATTTAATGCTGCTCTTAAAAGCTTTTCGAAAATGTGTTTGCTTTTATGTCTTTCAGTACTTAATATATTCTTGTGTATCTACAGACAAAACCAGGTGTTAGATTGTGCTGTCTTTCTTTGTGTGCTGTGCTCCTTTAAAACAACTTGTGCCCACCTTCCATATACCTGAACCTCATAAAAACCTGAAACAAAAAATGTTGAGCATCCAATCCATCTATGACAAATGACACAAGGGTGGAGGTCTCAGGGTAAGTAAGTTTTTACGAGTTTTGTGGAAGAGGAGAACAGTCCCTGCAGTTTCTGTTATGAAGCAAAAAGCTGTGAAGTGAGTTCACACAATTTTGAGTGCCATGAAGTTCAGAGAAACTACACCCAGCAGAAATACCCCAATCCTTGTGCAAGCTTTGGTTTCAGAAAATCAGCAATTGCAAACCTAGGACTACTAATATGCATGAACTGAACTTCCTTTAAACTTGTATATGGATTATTTGATTCTTACTAATTAACTGAAGGGTACTTAAGGGTTCTTTTTTATTTCTTTTATTCTCTGTGTTTAAGGGATTTCTAACTTTCTGTTTTCATCTAGCACTTGATGCCCTCTATATGGATGAAATGGTGACAAAGATTCACAACTGGATAAAAAGCCCAGCAAGCTCAGGGGTTGTGACAGAAGAGCCACAGAGTGCATGTGACAATCAGAAAAATGTTTATATTTTGATTGTTGAAGGCTTTCTGCTTTACAATTATGAGTAAGCAGTAATATGTAACCTGGTGTATTAAAACTGCCCTAAAATGGAGGAGGGAACTAAATATGTTATTATCTTAGGCCACTTAATGAACTTTGGAATAGAAGATATTTTTTGACCCTTCCTTATGAAGAGTGCAAAAGGAGAAGGAGGTAAGATTATTCAGTTGTTGTTTAACGAGGATCACTGTACCCTCTGAACTGTAGCAGTCCTTTTGTACTAGCTTTTCTTCGGTGCTTGCCAAATGTAAGCTATTAAGATCATCTGTCATCTGTTTTAGATTTGTTTGTTTTGGTTTTTATTTTAGAGCACAGGGATATCAAAGTACTTTACAAACACTAAATGCTTTACAAATGCTTTACAAACACTAAAAAGAGAATTTTTTGTCCTGATAAACTATTTCAATTACTGGTTGTGTATTTGAGTTAAACCATGTTTAAAACGAGAAGCAGTTAAAAAAATATGAAACAGTCTTATTCTTGGTTGCATACAGTTACATGACAATTAATAATGATGTTCATGTGTGGTTTTAGTGTATGGTTTGTTTAGACTGTACACTAGTTGTACTGTTTATCTGATTTAGATTATTGAGCCAGTGTCTGACTTGTCTCCAAATTAGGAGCAGTACTCTATGTTTGGAGCAATACATGTGCATGAAGTCAGAATCTACTGGCTGAGTGAAGAAATTCTCTATTCAGCTGGCTTTGGCTTCTCACTAGACTCACCTTTAAAGGAGTTTAGTGTCCAGAATGGAAGTGACTAGACTCAACAACCAGTAATTTAAAGCTTGAGAAATCTATATACTTAATAAAAAAAAAAATTGTAACAGTTTCAATACAGCATAATTTATATGTAATACTTTTTTAAATTAAAAAAACCCAACCTTTTACCTTATCTTCTTAGATGTGGTTTGATAGGCAGAAATAGGTAAGATAGCAAAAATTCGTATCACAGATTGAATTAAAAAAAAGGAGCCTCCTTTGCTCCAACAGTTATGCAAACTGCCACCCCTTATTTTTTTATTTTGAATAAAAGGTGTTATTAAACCAGCTGACAGTAAGGGAAGATGTAAAACTTGTATGGAAAAGCAGATATATTTTTGTGTAGCACCAGAGTCTATGAGCCAGCAGATACACCGGGATACTTCGATGGACACGTGTGGCCTATGTATCTGAAATACAAAAATGAATTGGAAGAGAATGCAAGTATGCAAGTTGGTATGGTATCCTTAGTTTTAAACTTATAAAATGCTTAAGTGTGGCACTTGTGCAGTTTTCATTGAGATGTGGGGTTTTATAAATGGAACAAAATTTTCCTGAGATGTTTTTGTAGCACTTAGTAGATTTTAACAATTTTGTTGGTTTACATTGCAAGTCTATTGGAGTTTTGGTTTTGCTTTTTAATAATGACAATTATAACATTAAAAAATAGAAATGTTCTAATCACTAAATAAGTCCACTTAACAAGATAGCTTGTTAAGACAACACAGGTATGTGTAAATAGGAAGCTTCTGAGATGACAGCTGATGCACTGGCAGAATTCTTCAGAACCAAATTGATATCCTGATTGAAGTCCTGTAATAAACCGAAGATACTTTCTAGGTGCTGACTATACACAGTATAGTCACCAGTTTTGCATGAGAAGTATCAAAGCTGGGCCAGCTGGTAGGGCACTGCCATGAGCTTGTGTCATGTTCACACTTGTACAGCTTTTGGACTGCCTCCTTCTGGAGGGGGGACTAGAGGGAAGGGAAGCTGGGTGGCTGCTTCATCCACACACTGCTTCTCACTGTGGAGTGAGAATGGAACTGTGCTGTTCCCTGACTTGTTCAAACACTGATGCTCAGGAACCTGAAGTCTTCCACTGCACAGAAACCTTTCTGCTGAATTACCCCACTGGTCTGCTGTCCTAACATTATTACTATTACCCTTATGGAGACTTCTATACCACAAAAAATTCCACATGAATTATTAACTAGAATACTTTTCCATTATGTTATTTTTTAACATGTAAAGTGAATTTGTGAAAAAAGAAAAGGGGAGATGCTGTTCTTGGTTTTTATTTTTTCATCTTTTCTGATGGCATCTATAGGAATCCTGAAGACTTTGACAATTAGTATTACAGATAGTTGGCACAAACTCATGAAAACTTTTTCTTTCATCTTCCTCAGTTTATTTGGATGGAACAAAATCCCAGGAGGAGCTTTTATCCTATGTGTATAGTGATATAATGCAGGAATTAAACAAGCTGAGGGAAGAAAGTAAGTGATGTTACTGGAAATTGAATCTGCATGTCCCATTCCATGTTAACAAGAAGCTAACCTTTTACGTGAAAATACTACAAGGATTGTATATATTATATCTCTTTATGTATTACAGTCCCATGTGTGCCCATTACTCTGAGTCAATCTAAATTATAATTGAGTTCCTTGAAATGGGATGTTCTAAAATAACAGTTGAATCCACAATTACCTAATGATAAAATAAAAATAAGATAGGGGGAACAGAAGGAATATGGGGTAAAACAAATGTGTTGATAGTATTAGTTTCTAATGTACAGTGATGTCACTTGCGAACACTACAAGTTAAATGTGTACTTTTTATTTATTTTAGATCAGCAGGTCACAGCATGATAATGTAGAAAGCCTGGGTTCCATTTGATATGAATTGAAAACCCCAAGACTGTCATATTTGGCAAGCCACCCAACTGAGCAAATGTTACGTGCACGACCATAATGCTAGTCCATACAACACAAGTGTTTTTGTAGTAACTATTAACTCTGTAAGTCTCAGATATTGTTTAGTAGGATCAACAGTGCATTCTTTAGAATTCCTTTAATCAGTCATGCTTTGGCTTTAAATCTCATTGATTGGGTACATTTTAAAGAACATAAAGATTTTTATCTACGTAACTAAACTATAAAGATGCAGTTCTGTTGGATTAATAAGCATATTTGAACATGGATGTTTGCAGTTTTAAATGATCATATAGGAATGACAGTGATTGCCTCTAATATTTTTAGGAGCTTATAATCACTGACATATACATGGTTAGAAGAACTAACTGTGTAATTTAAGATTGATTAAGTTGTTATGCTGCTTTTTCAGTAACGGTATACATCATAGCTGAACTTAGACTTGCTAAATACCTCTCTGGTGTTTGCAAAGCAATTTCTATGTTGTGTATTGTTTGGGGCAGTTGGGAATGGGTATTAAAAATATTAAAACAAACCTGAAGAGAAGTCAGATTATTGGAAAAAGATGGGGGAATACGATGTCGTAGAGAATGCAGATGCATCATTAACAAAATATAATGCATATATTGTGCAGATTGATGATTGGGTTGGCACAGACTACTAGACAATAAATGCATGTTTCAGGGGGGAGGAAGGAAGAAGGAATTCACATTAGTATTCATAGCTCAAGTTGAAACTGAAATAATTAAAATGTTCAGAAAGCAGATATGCTAAACAAATGTGAAAGCTTTGTTATAGAATTTGTGTACATACATTTAGGTAAATTAGGAAATTGGGTAGTTGGGTCATATGTTGTTGCTGAATAATTTCTTAACTCTTATATTTGCTATACAATATCTTACATTTTTATCAGTTGGAATAAAAATAAAGCTACAGACATGAAAAGCAAAGGATGGACTATGTTACTATATGACAGCTGAACTGATCAGTGATTAAAATGTAATGCTTTATTGTGACAGTATTGAGTCAATATATAAGAAAAAGGTGTTATCAGGTTAGAGCTGTGTTTAGGTGCATTTAAGACAAAGTGCTTCCAAATATAATTTTCTATTACTATTATTTTGTACTAAAAATATTTCATGTTGCATTTGCTCATATGCTGTGATGGACTGTCTAACTTTAAACTGTATTTTTATTTTTATTTTTATTTCCCTTTGGAAAGGATATAACTAGGAGAGCTTAGCTAAGACCTGGATGGTTGTGTGGGGCTGTCCTTGGCTAGCCACCAGGTGCTCCCTAAGCTGCTCTATTGCTTCCCTTCCTCAACTAGACAAGGGAAAAAAATACAATTAATAGCTCATGAGTCAAGATAAGGACAGGAAGATTGCTCAGCAATTAGAGTCACAGGCACAACAGATTTGGCTTGGGGAAATTATTTTATTTTATTGCCAATCAAATCAGAGTAGGATAATAAGAAATAGGAACAAATCTTAAAACACCTTCCCCCTGCCCCTCCCTTCTTCCTGGGCTTAACTTCCCTCATGAGTTCTCTACTTCCTCTCTCCCAGCAGTGCAGGGGGATGGGGAATGGGGGTTGTGGTCTGCTCATGGAGTATTGTCTCTACCACTGCTTCCTCCTCGCAGTCTTCTGCTGCTCCAGAGTGGGGTCCTACCCTCTAGAGCAGTCTTCCACATCCACCTGCTCCAGCATGCTTATACAGAGGAAGTAATGAAAAATGGTATCACCCAAGTTTGCAGATCATACGAAGCTTTCTGAAGTAGTCCAACATTGGTGCAGTGGCAAGGAGTTCAGTTGTGTGAGATCCTCCCCTAGGCAAAAGTGATAGATGAGCTCCAGTACAGATCTAAGCATTTGTGGTATAAATCATTATCAGAATATACATGGCACTGAACTTGTACTTCAGCAGCTTCTAATAAGAGCTCAGAGCAGAGATCTTTCACAATTCTTCTGTAACCATACCACATTTTGGAGTTCCATCAATTTTTTTTTTTTTCTTTTTTTTTCAAAAAAAGCAGGTGGCGCTACTTTGCTCCTGTGTAAGACTGGTGGACCCAGATTTTCAGTGCTGGGAAGATGCGGTTTCTATATTTAGAGGGACTCCATTGTGGAATTAAAAGAAGGGCAGCTGATCAAGGAAATGAAGAAGCTGCTTTGTGAGGAGAGATTGAAAATGCTGGGACCCTTCACTGTGGAAAGGGGAAGACTGAGGGGGAAAGGGGTCAAGGTTTACAAAATCTTGAAAGCTGTGAGTCAAATGGATGCAGAATTAGTATTCACCAAATGGTACAAATACTAGTCTGGGTGGCACTTCTTCATTTGAAACAGATTGAGCAATTATATTAAGGTGATATTTCATACAGATAAAGATGATACTTCATGCAGCAGACACTAAGTTTCTAAGCTGTAATGCCACAGGAGGCAGATAGTACCAGCAAGTTCAAAGGGGATTTTGAAGATTCATTGATACCTCACCCATAAGAAATAGTAAAAGAAGCAAGGAGGGCTATACCATGGATGGATTGTAGAAAATGACCAGGCTCACCTGGTGTACCTAAATTCTGTGCTCTTGCCAGTTACTACAGCAACTCAGTGGAAAAAAATAGTCACAGAATATGCTAGGATCATTGAGTCCAACCCCAGGAGTCACACTATGTGCCTGAAAATGTCATCCAAATGCTTCTTGGAATCTTGTCAGGCTTGGTGCTGTGACCACTTCCCTGGGGCCACTGTTCCAGCACCCAACCACCCTCTGGGTGAAGAATTTTTTCTAATATCCAACCTAAACCTCCCCTGACGCAACTTCAGGCCATTCCTTGGGTCCAGTCACTGGTGACCACAGAGATCAGTGCCTGCCCCTCCTCTTCCCCTCATAAGGAAGTTGTAGACTGCCATGAGGTCTCCCCTCAATCTCCTCCAGGCTGAACACACCAAGTGACCTCGGCCCCTCCTCATACAACTGCCCCTCAAGGCCCTTCACCAGCTTCGCTGCCCTCCTTTGGACATTCTCTAATGGTTTAGTATCTTTCTTATATTGTGGTGCCCAAAACTGCCACAATATTCAAGGTGAAGCCTCACCAGTGCAGAGCAGAGCGGGACAATCCCCTCCCTCGCACGGGCTGCCCATGCTTTGCCTGATGCCCCCCAGACACGGTTGGCCCTCCTGGCTGCCAGGGCACTGCTGACTCATATTCAACATGCCTTTGACCAGGACCCCCAGGTCCCTTTCCATGGCACTCCTTTCCAACATCTCATTCCCCAGTCTGTATGAACATCCAAGGTTGCCCCATCCCAGGTGCAGAATCCAGCGCTTCCTCTTGTTGAACTTCATATGGTTGGTGATTACCAAGTCCTCTTATTTGTTGAGGTGTCTCTGCAGGGCCTCTCTGCCTTTGAGGGAGTGAACAGCTCCTCCCAATTTTGTGTCATCTGCAGACTTGCTTAGCATCCCTTCCAGTTCTGTGTCCAAGTCATTTATGAAGATGTTGAAGAGCTCAGGGCCTGAGATGGAGCCCTGTGGAACCCCACTAGTGACAGGTCAGCAGTCTGATGTTACCCCAGTCACTATTACTCTCTGTGCTTGACTCGTGAGCCAATTGCTCACGCACCACATGATGTGTTTATCCAGCTGTGGGCTGGATATTTTGTCCAGAAGGATTCTGTGAGAGACAGTATTGAAAGCTTTACTGAAATCCAAAAGATTACATCAACTGGCTTCCCCTGATCAACTAGGTGGATTATCTTATCATAAAAGGAATGCAGGTTTGATAAGACTGTGTTGTCTTTCATGTGCTTTTCAATACCTCCCAGAATAATCTTCTCCATAAATTTATCAGGCACTGAAGTGAGAATGAACTTCTAAGTCTGTCTGGGAGATAAAAATATTTCGAGTGCCCTTACAAAAACTTATAGAACTTCCCTGCAACGTTGGCATGTTGGCAGAATGCTTTTGCTTTAAAGGTAGTACAGGAAAACTCTAGTTTGCCCTTGGCAAATGCAGTTTGATTGCCAGGGCTGTGCTAGCTATGAAGTGGCTGGGGAGAGCTGCATGATAGGAGCCTGTAGTTCTTTAGTAGTGTCACCTCCTGCTGGCAGCAATTTCAGGCTGTCACAGCTGAAAGAAAGCTTTGCTAAGTGTCTTGCATATGTTCAGAAACACTGTAGCAATAGAAGTGGTGTTGTTCTATAGAAGGCAAATGGCTTATGTAAAAGGAGTGCAGTAATGTCAGTACGTGACTAGTTTGATATTTAGGTGATTTCCTCATGTCAAAATAACAGAGAGAACATGACAATGTTCTCATAAACACTGATATAGCAAGTACAAATGTTTCATCTTGCAGAGTTATTGATCCCGCCCTAACCTTCAAAGTCTAAAAGCTGAATTTCTGTTTAGGCTGCGTGACATTGATTTAGATGTTGGTTTTATCACATGCAAGGTGCTTCCTAATTAACAAAACCAGTAATGTGCCCTTGGGAACAATGACTCCTTTGTCCATCAAACTAAATATGCTGTCTGTGCTTCCTCTCTGGCACTGCCACTGAACAGTGTCCAGTGTCCCATCAGTTAATGGAGTTGCAAGAGAGTAGGAGCAGTGTGAGGGTAAAGAATACTGGAAAACACTGAGAGTAAAGTGAGAGTGTTAGGAGGCTGATGCTCCTATTTCTACAGAGAGAAGGTTAGTATGCCAAAAAACTTCTCTGTTCCTGTTCCATTACTTGGATTACTAAATGACTACCACTGTCTTTAGAGAGACAGCTAGGTAGGGCATGCTCTTCAGCATCTCAAAATGGGGATGGGCCCTTGCAAATGAGGCCCTTGGGATCAGCCACCTCTTCTCAAAGCAGTTTGGAAAGGCATATAGTGACTTGCTGCAGGACACAGGGTGTCTGCATCCAGTGAAACAAGTTTTGTCAGGTGAAGGAGGATGGGCTCAAGGGTCATCAGGGCCAAGGCGTGTTGTGGGGGGAAATATAGTATCTAGCGACTCACGCATGGCAGTTAAGCGTGCCTCCTTGCTTTTCCCTCCCCATAGTTGGTCCTTGCATTTCTTTCTAGGAAACATAATCCGGCTTTAGTCTGGCGCAGAGGTTCTTGCAAAGTACTGCCTCGTCTCAGCACAGCTGCTCTGCTCGTGGCTGCCTGCTCAGCGGGGCTGGATGCATACCTTACCACAACCTGGTGCAGGCAGCCCGGTGGAGACCTGAGCTTTGACTGCTGCACCAGGACTTCATCTGTGTGAAGACTCCGAAAGGGCGCATCCGCGTCAGGCACGAGAGAGAGTGCTTCAGCGTCACTGCCGCCGTGTGCGAGCCCCGCCATGTCATTTCTCACACTGGCGGGGACGAGCAGTGCCCCACAGCCCATGTTGCTGCTGACAGCTGACTCCAAGGCAGGGAACACCCGGCCAGGACACCAATCCCGCCACCGCTCCGGAGCTGGCCCGCCCCGCCCCGCCCCGCCCCGCCCGTCGTCTCGCGATATTTCTTCCTCCGCCGAGCGGCCGGCGCGCGCCGGAAGGGAGGAGGGGCGCGTGCGCGCGCGGGGGATGTCGGCCACGTGCGCCGTGTCCCGGAAAGCGCCGCCGCCGCTCTCCCGGGGCGAGGGGGATCCGCCGACCAAAGTGATGCGCAGGGGGCTGCGGAGAGGCCACGAGGAGGAGCGGGAGGAGCTGCCGTGGCCGGGAGAGAGCGCGTGCGGCCGGGGCGCGGAGCCCGAGGGGGAGCAGGCGGCCCCGCTCAGGGACGAGCGGCGGAGGCGGCGGCCGCTGGAGCCGAGGGCGCTGGCGGCGGCGGCCAGGGAGGAGGAGGAGGAACGTCTGGAGCGGGAGCATTTCCGGAGGATCATCAACGCCTTCCGATATTACGGGTAACGGAGACCTGATCCCTGTGCGTGATGCCTGCAGGGTGGCCCTGCGCTCGCTGACCGGCCCCCGAAGGGTTCCGGGCTATCCCGCCGCTCCCGGAGCAGGGCGCTCCCCCTGCGGTCTGCGCTCCCTGGCGAGCACTGTGCCGGTGGCGGGGCACAGCAGCCCGAGTCGGGAAGGGGCTTCTGCGCCACTTATGTTTCTGGATACGCTCAAGGTCGCTTTGGTACTTGTCAGTTCGGAAGCATAAAAGAAAGCACCAAACCTGAAGAGGGTGTGAAAGCTTTCTTAGGAAATAAAATACTCTAAGATACTGTAAGGTCTTCAAAACAATAGTAGTTCGTGCTGGCAAAGAAATGCAAATGGTGTTTCAATTATTGGGGAAATTCGTGAAAGACATTTGAGTTTGCCCGAGAGATAAGGGCTAATGGCTACCATTTTTAATAACATCTGTTGAGTTAGAAGAGGGATAACTGGCCCCATAGAAATTAGATAAATCTAACTTTATGATTGAATCCATTGAATAGAAGAGGAAACAAGTTACTAAGATGGCGGTGGTGGAGACTGGCTGAAAAAGTCCAGTCTTCTTCAGTATTTTGATAAACTGTTTCCTGTTTTTAGGTTTGGGAAGCAGATTTGGGATGTAGCAACACTATATCTCTGTACTTCAGTGGACCAAGCCCCATCATGGGACTCATTACTGTGTTTTGAACCCTTCTTGTCACAAGCGTTATTTTTACATGATAGTGAGATTCTTAATAGGAGTGGGTGATATTTATGTAACTTCTCCTGTTTGAGGTTTTCCTGTGTTCGGTTTTATTTGTTTTCCGGGATTAGTGTTTGAGTGGGGAGGTTGGTCTAGATGATACTTCAGTGTGTCTTCCTGAGTGAATTCTCTAATTCATTCTGGATGTATCAAAGACTTAGTTAAAAATATCTGATACTAGTGGCTATTAATTCAGTTCCCAACTGTAATGTCCTCATGTCAGTGATGTAATTTTATCCTCAGGCCTTACAAGCTGAGAACATAATTCTCAACCTCATGCTGAACTGTGGCTCTAGGTTGCTTTTGAATGCTTGTTTTAGTAAATACATAAGAAAAAGATGTGACCTAAATTTTCAATACAGAAGTTCAATTAAATTACCTCTGTCTCAAAGAAATAACTCTGAATGTAGGTGAAATTACGTATCTCAGTAGTTTAAAATAATTGGAATTTTTATTTACATACAGATGTTTATTAATTGGGAGCATCTGTATGAATAAGGCAATAACACACTTTCAGATAAGTCCAGATCTTGTTCTTCTCGTCTTGAGAGAAACAGACTTAACTTCATTATTTATAGTTCTGATTTCAGTGAATTATTAATTTTGCTAGATGGTTGCAATTAGCATGAAAGGGTGGAGAATTAGGTTCAAAGATACTTTTTTTTGGGTCAAACCTTTCAAGAAGATGATGTTAAGTTAAGCTTATGTGCTCTATATCGAGGATCAGTTTATTTTTCTATTGTTTCTTTTCTGTTTCTTAATGTAATTTTAAACCAGTGTAGCTATTGTAGTGAACAAGCCCTTCTCAGAAACATGTGCATGAAATATTAACTGGTCAAATTTCAAGACTGAGGTTGCAACTAAAATTGCAGCAATTGCACCTTACTCTCACTGATGGTTAGTTTTCAACTTTGTACAGCTTTACGCTGACACAAGAGTTTGGGAAACTGCAGTATGACTTGACCAGCCTAAATGATTTGGTGGACAAAAGGGGCAGTGTCTCTTGTCCTGGCTTTATGACTGTGCTCAGCAACTAGACTTCTGTCAGTTTAGACAGAAGTCACATCTAGAAAACTCTAGCAAAAGCTTAGAAGATTCACCTTTTCTGTGAAACTTTTATCTTGGAGAAGTGGAGGAGGTATTTTTAGCTTGTATCAGTTCCATGATCAAATTCACAGTACTAATACTTAGGGTAATATGCTGTTAAAAGGAGGCAGGTTAGTATCTTAGTGTGGCTGACGGAACTCTGGCATGGTCTAGCTATGACTTTTGCATTTCTTTCAGAAGCAGTTGATCTTGAGGGTTCCAATTCGCACTCCATGTCATTTTTTCTGTAGCCAAAATTTACCAGTGCATCCAGCTATTAATTCAATTTAATTTGGATTTGGGAAACAATTTTGGAGATGGTTGTTTGTTAAATTTTGTAGATCCATGGATTAAGGTAGTCATCACCTGCGCTGGAAATAAGTGGCTAATGATGAAACTTAAGTCCTCTTAAGCAGGAACGTGTTAAAAAGAGTGATAATGTAGAACTAGATCTTTAAAAAATTTTTGCCTAAAAAATTCTTGAGAACTTGTTCTCTTGTAAAGAATTAAAAAGTCTGATCACTTTCTGTGTATAACAAAGTGAATAATTGTCATTGGAATAGCTTACAGTGAATTATTTACATGTAATTTGTGTATTGGTTCTAAATATCTAAAACTTTTGCTTTTTAGAACGAATATGCATGAACGAGTGAACAGAACAGAGAGGCAGTTTAAGTCTCTCCCAGCTAACCAACAGAGTCTTCTTCCTCAATTTCTTCCACACCTTGACAAGATTCGGAAGTGCATTGATCATAATCAAGAGATACTACAGACCATTGTGAATGACTGCGTTCATATGTTTGAAAATAAAGAATATGGAGAAGACGTATGTGAAAGTGGACTTTTTCTTGATCCAAAACTAAAGTCTGTATGCTTTGGGATTTTCTACATTTGTTTTTCACACCTCTAGACCTCCAACTTTCCTTTTGCCTTTATTTTCTCATTTCTTGTTTCTTGCTTGCTTACACTTTTCTCACTCTTTCACATTTTGTGAAGCTGATGCTTACTAGAGCTGTTTCTTGCTAGTTCTTTTAGTTACACTTAGGAAAACTAACTGTGAATCTGGCAAATGTTTGTAAAAAGGTATTTTTCTCTGTGGAGTTCTAGCTTTACTCTGCTTACATTTTAAAGTTATTTTTTCTGTTAACTATGTAGAACAGAAATGACATTGTCTGTCTTACTGTAGGTTATTATATGTTGCAGCATTCTGAATTGGTTGCAATTCTAGATAGGCCAAGTATTTTTAATGTTGTTATTGGTGAGCACCTTTTTGCTACTTGACCTGCTTTTTTAGTGTGGCGTCTCTGTCAAACAAAATGTCCCTCAGACTTAAAAGACTGACAGAGGTGGAAACTGAAGTCCTTTTTGGTATCGGCAGACAAAATTCAGTAATGGACAACTCTAAAGTGAGCTTCTTAGTGTTGCCATACCAGTACCTAAAGGGCTCCTCTTTTCAGAGTAACCAGTTCAGCTTCTGCACTAGCTAGGTCCTGGTCCTTTCCTGAATGAGGACTACCAATTTGCTTTGCTATGCCATACCGTATGTTTTTTTTCTGATGTGGAAACTGGTCTCTTGGATGCCAAATGGAGACAGCAAACTCAGTTTGTTTAGGATATTAAGGTGGATTTGAGCTCTGGTCCCAGGAATGAAAGGCAAGTGCTTTGTCAGCTAAAACTCCCAACAGCTCTTATACCGTGACATTTTTCTGTTTATAATTTTGGTTTTTTCCCCCAAGACTCAAAAAACTTAGTACATTTTCCACTAACTTTTTTTTTTTCCCCACATTAATCAGGGAAGCGGGAAGATAACACCAGCTTCAACATTTGACATGGATAAATTAAAGTCCACATTGAAACAATTTGTGAGAGACTGGAGTGAAGAGGGAAAGTCTGAGAGAGATTCCTGCTACCAGCCAATCATTAGTGAAATTGTAAAGAACTTTCCAAAAGAAAGATGGTAATAGTGTCTTAAGACTTATATTTATGTGGAGATAAACTGTTGCACAAATCTAACAAAGTTTGTGTGGAGTAATGAAAAACTTGGTTTCAAAATACAGGAGTTTTTGTGAATGCAGTGGAATTTATTTTTTAATCAGGAAAGTTTTTATTTCTAATACAAGGTGTATTAGAAATACATTAGAAAAAAACCATAATAATAAACTTCACGAAGTAATACCAGGTAAATCAGGAATAGTGTTTTGTTGTTGTTCTGCAGCTTGGTGTAACAGAATGTATTTAACCTTTCAAGTAAAAGACTTCAGGAGTGTGTGAAGTTAACTCAGTTGTGGTCAGCAAGGTAAAGTTTGCAGGTTAGCAGATTATCAAAGTGTGTGTGCTGCAGATAAAAGCAAGGACACTTGTGACAGCAGGAAGTATCACTATTGCCCTTCATGATGGAAAGAAGGAGGAATACTCTTAAGCTCTAGTGCAGTTGCACTTAGTTGCACTAAGAATTTACTCTGAAAATAGTAAATTCTAGGCTTGGTTTCAAACAAGTGTTACAAGACAATTCTTAAAAAAGCTTTGCTGTATGTATGAGGGTAATTTTGTAACCACATTGGCTTGTTAACACTGTAAAATAGTTGTTGATGCAGGGTGTTTTGAGTAACTTCAGGTAGAAGTATACTGGTAAAATCTCAAAAGGTAATAGTGCTATAAGAATTCCATGTTTAATGATTCTGTCAATTAATCAACTCAGTCATCTTAAAGTATATTTTAGGTAAAACTTAACAGTCTTACAGTTAGAATATATGAGAACTTTCTACTCACAAATGTAACGAGCCACAACTTAGATTTGATATAGGTGGGTATTACTCTGGGTTTTTTTCTCTCTCAGTAATTGCTAATAATGTACTAGTACAAATTTGGAAAATCTCTTCTACTAGCCATTTTTTAGTTTCATTAGTAAAGACTGTGGTGGCAGAACATGGAATGGACGTGGTTGATTTCTGTTTTGCTTTGGACTGACTTATGTCAAAATACAAAACGTTTTATCTGAAAGTGAACTTTGCAATGCTTTTAGTGCTAACAGTGCCCTACATAAGATAGAAATGAATTAAATACTGCAGGTTATTTGGTGCATCTCTGATGTGTGGGTCTGTAGGAAAACTCATAGTTAGGTAGCAGTTCACCTTTTTCTCTTGTATGCCAGCCTTTAATGGATTTTGTTTATGAGGGAGATAGCTTATGTCAGATCTTAAAAGATCCATGACTGAGTCTGAAAAACCTTGACTTTTACATTTGTCATCAATGAACTCTATTTCAAAACCTCCAGTATATATTAGGAAGCAACATGTGGTAACAGATTAGGTGAATCTGAAGTTGGTAGTTTTGTGCTTATTTACCAGGAGTTCTGGTGGTGGTCAAACAGAACTAATGTGACAGAGCATGTGTCCCTATTATGGTGGCTCTGGAATACCATTTATTTTGTCTCTGCCAAAATCTCAATACATCACTGTATAGATCAAGCATCTCTACTACAAGTTTGAGTTTGTCAAACTAAGTGGTGGGTTTTTTTAATTTCTAAAATGTGTTTTAAATAAATACGTTATTTAAAAGTTTGATATTCATTATCACTATGGAGCTGTTGTAGCACTTGCGCAAAACCTTTTCTCTGTTCACATATTGTTAGCTACCGTCTAGCTCATTCTTTTTCCTAGTTACCAGAGGCACTCTCCTACTTAGTTATACTTACCTCTGAGGTAAGAAGCAGAATCATGTACTGTCAAGCTTAACTGGCAGTGCGAGAAGTAACTTCCCTGGCAGGGCATGCTAGCTAGTCGGTCTGGTATACAGTTTTATACAAGCTTCACTCTTGTCCCCAGTGACAGGACTCGAGGAAAGAGCATGAAGCTGAGTCAGGGAATGTTTAGGTTGGATATCAGAATTCACCCAAAGGCTGGTTGAGCACTGGAACAGGCTCCCCAGGGAAGTGGTCACAGCACCAAGCCCGTCTGAGTTCAAGAAGTGTTTTGACAATATTCTCAGGCACATGGTGGGATTTTTGGGGTGTCCTGTGCAGGGCCAGGTGTTGGACTTGATGATCCTGATGGGTCCTTTCCAACTCGGCATATTCTCTGATTTTATGATTTTGAAGCATAGCGGGGTTTTCAGTTTTGAAGGTATGGACAGGGCCTGAACTGACCATAGTGGAGTTATTCTGTCTGTTGTTTATAGTGGGAGAGGACTAACTGTGGACACCAATGTATGAAAACAGGTTGTAGATGAACCTCAGAGTTCAGCTTTGCATTTCTTTAGAGTTTTCTTTTGTGCTGAAGTCTCCTGAGATGATGAAAGTGCTAGACAAAAAGTGCATTGGTGGCACTGGGTGATGAAAACAAATTTTCTAGATGTATTTTGCATTAAAAATGATAAAGAAATAAATATTTTAAATTTAAAACTGTCAGTGCAAGTCACCTTTTACTTTGTAAAAGAAATTGTAATATACATAAAATTTGTAATACTCAATGGAATGGTACATGCAGTTTCTAGTTAACATAATTTGTTAACGTTATTGATTCCTTGCATTGGAATCATGTGAAAAAGAAGTTTAAATTTTTGAAACTATTAAAGTATATTTCGCTCCATGCACGCACATGTTGTAGTATGCTCTTTGCAAGATTGACCTGTATGGGTACAGCTGGTATGTAAAGAACAGGAAAAGCAGCGAAGTATTGTATATGGTTGCTTTTCTGGGAAGTAGAAGAAATACAAGCAACGGTTGAAAGTAGCTGTAAATTACAACAGTGTGAAGAGATGCTACTGTTATCCTGTGTTTCAGTCTAGTCTTCTGATAAGACTGTCATCTAAAAATAACATACATGGCCAGAGCTATTCCTGCCTTTTATTCCTCTTCAGAAATAATTCATTCTTTTTTCTTAGCAGAATCTGTTACTAGGATCAACCAAGCATTTTTAAGTGAAATCCCATGAGATCAGGTCTTCCTGAAGAACTGATAGATTTCCTGCATTATTCATGTTGGAATTTAATTGTGTTTCAGCTCTGTAGTATTTAAATTTCTTGTATTTCTTCAATCTGCATGAGCCATGATCTCTGCTTTCTGAAGGAAAAAATAGTAAAACATAGATACATTTTTATTTCTTGATGGAATGTGTTTGTTGAAGCATTTAAGTTGAAAATCTAAATAAGCATACTGATACATTTTTTTCTGATTCCTCTTTTTTCTGTTGTCTTTGTTTCCTTTCACTTCTACTGTTGTTACCCTTCCTGTTTAAGTGAAAGGCTGTAAAGATCATCAGCTTCTTTTCCAAAAGAAATCTAAGAAATAGTTAACCTTTTTGTTAATTATCATTCCATGGCCAAGAACAGTATACTTAGGTATTTTTTCCATTGTTTGCTTCTCATTAACGTGGCCTCTGGAATCAACTATAATTTGAAATTTATCTTTGTTATCCTGTCCAGCAATCAATTGCATTTTCCAAGGTGCTGGCAGAACAGCCCAGAAGAGATCACCAGAGCTTAGTTTCCTTTTTATAAGAAAAACAGCTTATTGGTCCTGAGCTTGGTTATACTTCTTGAATGTGCTCAGTCAAATTTATAGTAGAGTTGAAATTTCTGCTTTATTTGAATTTTATTTAACTTTATAGAATATACATCTGTCCTTGGAGGTTTTTGTACTTAGCTTAAGCTTCCCTTTAAACATTGGACTGAAGAGCAAACTATATCATCAGTGTTACTACAGTCCACTGAGTGCTTTGCAGATCTTTACATGAAAGTACGTAAAACTCAGCTGCCAAGTTTGAGAAAAATTGGTCTTCAAATTATTATGCTGTTTAGTGTATGTCTTTAAAAAGTCTCTGAAAATATGATTTAAGAAAAATAATGAAAATCCTATGCTGAGAATTGGATTTAAATATAAAGACATTGTAAACACATTGTAAAGGATTCCCACAGTGTGGTTTTATTTTGATATTTCCACTGATGAGAAGCCCATCTCTGTATGGGATGTGTATTTATCACTTCTGCTCATTACATAAATTGAACTACAGTGTTCAGTTTATAAAAATGAGTTTCATGTTTCATGAGATACACTAATTTTCATTTTGCTGAGCATGTCTACCACTTTAGCACCATTATTTTTGGTTACAGCACAATATGCATGAAATAAGCCTCTGTTTTAATCATGTTTAATGTTTCCTGTTAAAAAAAGCACACCTTTTAAAAAGTTAAAATCTTCCTTAAAAGCTGAAAATATATAACACTGCAAAATGCAGTACAAAAATGTCATGACAGATTTTGGTTGTTTCTGATATTTCTCCACTACCTTTTTTTAAGAGACTTTTGCAGTTTCAATAGTTGAGCCAAGCAGAACCATGCAGCCCTCTTGCCTGCTTTCCCTGCTCTTTGGCTAGCCTCCTTGCCTGCTTTCCCTGCTCTTTGGCTAGCCTCCTCTCCCTGCCAAGTTGATAGGCTAATGTTTCTACTCTACTGGACCACAGTTATTTAGTGGATATTTGTTGATTACCCATTTATGTTCCTAACTGCTGCTAGATGTGTCGTAGAAATCCTGCTGCTGCTGACTGGATCAAGGCTAGTTTTCACTGTGGATAACTTTGGGTAATTATATTATTGCAGGTTTTGATTTTTTTTTTAAATTGTCTTAGCTACTGCTGCAATCACATATCCACCAAAAGAAAGTGTGTTTTTTCTAATCTGTTAAAGCACTGTGGCCATTAAAAAAGCAGTTTCTGTGCAATTAAAGATTTTTAGCTATTGTCACGATTTAAAATTCAACGTACATAGTGCAATGGGGTGCTTCCACTACCACAGCTTTCATACCTTAATTTTTTTTTAATTCATTAATAGGTTGTCACAAACAATTCTTTTTAAGTCTTGAAAAGAAGAAGGTGTTTGACCATTTTTTCTGAAAACAGGACACTGTCAGCAGTCACTACTTGTTATGCAGTCAGTTTGCCACATACCTAATTTCTCTGACTATAAATTAAAAAAAAATGCTCTTGAACCATTTTGGAAGGCTAGTTCAATGTTAGTGGACTGAGATTTGGTTATATTGTATTTATTAGCTGTGCTCTGTAGGCTGAAATGAAGTTGATGGCCAGGGCCAGTGTCTGGCAACCGATGTAAAGAGTATAGCTAGAAATTACATTGCTAACAAATTTCCAGACAAGCTTTAATCCCTTAATAAAGGTACGAATGAAAGTTTAGTTAAGACTGCACTAGAAAAATATGGTAGAAAACTACTTACTAAGAGAGAATTTGGAAAATTAGTTTAGAAATACGAAAACTTTATATTGTGAATGAAAAGATACAAGACAATTACAAGCAATTTAAAATCAACTCGACTGTTAGAGGCTTTATCTTGTTTTAGGATGCATAAAGGTGCAGATTTCAAAATATGAATACACTTGCATTATTAGGTTGTTTTAAGAAAAGTCTTTTTTTTAATCAATGTATCATAATCTTAAAAGTGGCTTAAGGCTTTTCAACCCATTCATTGTAGAAGTGTCCACTTGGGTGTGCTAAAATCTGTGTAGAGCTAGTCTAAATCTTTCATGAATAAAGTGAAATTGTAAGGAAATGAAGAAATAGATGAGGTTAGAAATACATTTAGAATAACAGTGTCTCACTATGAATAGGAAAAACTTTAGATTGAGGCTTTTCTAGCTTCTTCCAGAAAGTGCATTTTCTTCTTCCTTCTTCTTCTGGTTCCATATTTTCAAAAGTATTGTCTTGAGCATGTAGTTTTCTCCTGAATTAAATTTTTTTTTTTTCAGTAGGACTGTCTTCTGGTTTTCTCTTGTAGACTAGAGGTAGTGAGAACCATTGCTTCATGGAAGTGCTCTTAAGTAATAACAAAGTCTTGATTTCCTACTTCTTTTTAATCAGAAAAAGAGCCTGCACATATAATGGGAATGAAATGAAAGTCAAGAACGATTTTTCCGTTTCAGAGGCGTCATCACTAATTACGTGATTAGGTCAAAACCCAAAAGATGCTGTTAAAACTTCTTTGTTACATTGTGTGCCCTTTAGAAAAGAATAATACTTTCTGTTGATTTTGGGTAATAGTGTTCAGAAATGTACAGCTTTTCAGAATTTACATAACTCCTTCAGTGATCTTTGTGCTTATGCAGCATGCTAACTCTTTTGAACCCTTCTTGGCATGCTGAATTTTTAAGTTGTCAGAGGCTTTGCATTTTGCTGTCTGTACTTGGATCTTCTGATTGTGGCCTCCTCTTCCATTTAGTTGCATATAAATTGATAGACATATGTTTTGTCTTTGCACGTGACATGCAAAACAGAGAGTAGTGTTCGTGCTTTTTTTTTGCTATATGAAATCATAAAGTCTTGTTCATGGCTGGAAACTGAAAAAATATTTCTTTTTAGATTAATTATCTTTTCAGTTTGGCATGGGAGTGGGTTTTGTTGTATGAGTGGAGATTTCATTGCACTGTGGTGGAAGTCTGATGGTTACAGTAAGTCTGTATTGCCTTTTCTGCCTCAAAGAGGAGCAAATGTTGAGATTCTTAGTTCTCCTATTCGTTAGTTGCTGCACTTGGAAGATGGGAGAGATTTTTCTAGGTATGTCAGTAAACACACTGCTGGATGTCTTCTGGTTGTCTTCAACTTGATGCCTAGTTAGGGTTAAAGGGTTGGAGAGCCAATTTAGGAAATATGTCACTTAGATACTTCAGGGAAACCCACAGTTGCTGAGATGGTGACCAAGGTTTTTACATTCTGAATTGCTCATCAGATTATGGAGGTTTTATGTTTCTCATTTCTCCTGTCAAAATACTTGTTTATTTTTCATGCAAAGTAACAAAAATATATCTAGAATACTTGCTGATTATCAGTGGGACTTGGAAAAATACATGGTTCATATGATAATGTTCTTCTATTCACTTAAGAGATTTTTGGCTTGATAACTGTAAAAGTTTTAAGGAAAAATATCGTTCACTAATTATGCTCTGTATTCTGAATGAGGGTTGTATATGTTCTTTTAAGTAGTTTCTGTGTGTTGTTTTGACTGTACAGTTAACCAATCTAATCAGAACTGGCTCAGTTTCCATTTAAAAATAAAGTCATACAGGAAGTATAATATCTAAGTATATGGGGGGAAAATGTTTGAGTGGACCTCTAAGTTGTGTTAAGAGGTATCAGATAAAGACTTAACTATTATTTTTGTTCTGTTGCAGGGATTTCTCCAAAGTTAATATCCTGGTACCTGGTGCTGGGCTAGGTAGATTGGCGTGGGAAATAGCTATGCTCGGTTATGCTTGCCAAGGAAATGAATGGAGCCTCTTTATGCTCTTTTCTTCTAACTTTGTACTCAACAGGTATATAGCTTACATTTTACTTGCTGATTAAAACCTAGAGAGGCAAAGTCATAAATGAGAAAAGTCTGAATATGAAAATCGCACAAGAACAGATTTGTAAGTCCTAATACAGGACACACATAACCACTGTTTACAATGTTTTAATGAAAAAAAAAAAAAAAGAAGTCATAGGGATAAATGGGGAAGGAGGGATTGTATCTGAGTCATTAAAATTATAGGAAGCATGGGGTTTAAGTTATGAGTTGTAGAATCTCTAGATTGTACCACAGATTTTCTGCAAAATTTTGATTAGGTTTTGTGATTTATTTCACATGGTTCTGTAAAATGCGCACCTCTCTTACTGATGTCAAATATGGGCTCTTAAATATGTTCGTGGTATGTAGTGCTGGTGATTATTAACAGAGGAAAGCTGCTAAAAGAAAGTATTACATTTCATATTACATATCCATATTATTACATATCCATCCTAAGATTTTAGGCACTGTTTTGACATGAAAAACAACCACTGAGGCATGCTGAGCATGAGAGGCTAAAATAAGAGTTAACAGTTCCACAATTATGCGGAGGTAATAGATTCGAATGTAGTAAATTTCACTTTACAGGTTTAATTTCAAATTACATTTTTGTATTTGGTATTCTGGCATGTGCATTGGAAATTACTGGTTTCAGAATAAAGTTATTAGAGAGGAAAGAAGGCAGCACATGCAACTGGTCTTTTAAGAAAGAGGGTAGGAAGACTACAGGTGGGCAAATATGAAAGTGGTCTGGGGGATGTTTTGTTTTTTTGGTGGAGTTGGTGCCAAGTTCAGAGAGACAATTTGCCAGTCATTCATCAGTCTCTAAGTGTACACCTTTGCTGAAAACACCTAAACTATTGGTTTGTATTCTGTATTACCATAAAACATAAAGATCTGTTTGTAGACTGATTGTCCACAGTGCACCGTGATGATCTTACATCTCTTACAGCGTACTGTTCAAAAACAGCAAGAGGAGAACACTGTTTACGATGGCTGCTGCCTCTGCATGTAACAGGTCAATGTGTTGAAAATAGATATTTACTGGAGGTTCATTTGTTCTTTTTTCCTAAATTATTCTCAAATGAATCATCTGCTGGTGAAATTGTATATTACAGTTGATCTGACTGATGCCTTGCAGCTATTGAAAGGAAGCCACATTCCTCTTGTGCTTTGGAACTTTTGAAATTATTCAAAGCAGTATAAAAGTATTCATTTCCCATCTTTGGTAGCACTGATCAACTGTCACAGAGGTTAACTTCATCCCTACCATCCCTACTTCATCCCTACAATCCTGCCTGATGGCAGGCTTCTTTAAATAATGAGTCTTTGGCCTATATGTGGAATTGTCCTGAAGATTCACGCTTAGCTAACAGTGGTAATCACTCATAGCATCTAGTGCTCATGTAGTGTTTCCTGTTTATACAGGATATTTAGCAAAGAGGTGTATATGCATTAAACTTGCTAACAGTATGTGATTTTAGACAACAAAATTGAGTGTTATGTAACTGCTGTAATCTTCATCACTTCTGGGCAAATTATCAGTTACAGCTCCTTGAAAGAGAATACTGCTAGCCTGACTAAGAAGTGCAGTCAATTCAGTTCAAATCCAAGCATTTTCCTTTCCGCCAGATCTGTTTGGGGGCTTGGTGTGTCTTTTATGAAGGTCTTAGGGACTTGGAGAATCTTTCAGTTTAGTCTTAAGTGGCTGTTCGCAGTTAGCCTTCTGAAATGGACATCTTTGATTTCCTGAAACTGGAAGAAACAGCATCTATGAGCTGAAAATAGTAGTTAAGGAAGAGTGGTAAAAAACAAGGATTTAGTGACCTAGTTTTTAACTATAGTCTCAATTTAATTTGTTTTTTCAGTTGATGAAAACATGAGGATTTTGCTAACACATGCTTAACAGTTTGGATATACCTTCTTTCTCTGACCATAGTTCATTTTTAGGAGGACAAAGTACTGTTTTGAGTGTCAATTGCTACAGTAGGTTCCTAGATGTACAGTGACTTAATATTTCTGTACACAAAGTGATATCTGCTGATTTTCACATATTTAAAAAAAAAATCTTAATTTTCTTAGATGGTGAACTTCTGTTACAGTGGATAGAGGTGCATGGTATGATATGTATAGTATGTGTCAAGGCATAACTGTGGTCACTGTAAGTATTTGAAATTATTTAGAGTGTATTATTCTGTTGAGGAAGCACTAATTTGAGAATAAAGTGATCCTGGAGTACTTAAGCTACAATGGCTCCAAAGCTGCTTCAATTCTTTTATGGGAAATTCTACTTTTCCTTGTAGGCGTAAGGTTTTTATGTGGTGTATTTTTCTAGTGTTTGCTTGAGTTCTGGATATAATGACAGATGTCAGAGGTGATCACCGGTGGTACAGACACACTTCATTTCTTAAAGTTTTGGAAGAGGGAAAACTGAAAAGCATAATCTGTTCTTCTGCGTCTGCCGGGCAGCCTAAAGCCACAGGACACTTTACTTCCCTGTGAGATCTGACAGGAGGGGAAACAACACTAAAGTGGTATCTGTGTGGATGAGACAGGAGCAGCTGGTTGCTGATGTGCTGTTTTCTAGAGCACAGGGTCAATAGCCTTGGTGTCACTCGCTTTGAGAAAGTTCTATTCGAGTAATATAAAATCACTTTGTACACAAGTTAAAATAGAGTTAGTTTAAAAAAGCTTTAATTAACACCAGTAGAATTCATGCTAGTAATTGGTTAATCTGTACATTCTGGAAAGAATTTTAGAGAAATCTTGACATTTGGAGAAGGCTTGTTTGTTGCATGTCCATGAATGCCTTAGGATGAAAACAGTTAAATTACTCTTGATCTATAAACCAGTGGTCAGAAGTGAGATTTGACCTATCAGTTTTTTCCAGAACTGAACAGTAAATGCCCTGCCCCTATGGAAAATAAAGAAGTGTGCCACAATTGAATCTGTTAGAGTTTTATAATATAACATATGTGACACGTGTTTTGTTGGAATGATGGAATTGCAAAGGACTGGAGTACTTAGTTTTGAAGTACAGATTGGTGAAGCTGGAAATGGTGGTTTTCAAGCTTGTATATGAAAAGGGGTTGGTCTTTTCTATTCAATTAGCAGTTTCCTTTGGAATTGTTTCAGTATACTGCTGCTCAAATAAAAGTCGGTTTTGTATTATTTTTTAGTTGATAAAAAGAAATATAAATATGACATGAAGAAGGTAAAAAATGTTATTTCAAAGACCATTACAGATGTATTCTAACCACCAACCAAAAGAATGCACTTTCTGTAACCCAGTAGATTGCTTGCAGTTTATGGAGCATTCCATGATATGTATTTTATGGGACAGCTATGTCCTCTGTTGTCTCTGAAAGAAAATGTTTTTGTTTTTTAGTTACAAACTGATTTTACAAGACCATGGGAAAAGCTTCTTATTATACTTAAATGCTGTATTTTATCACTTTTTAAAAGAAGAGTTGATTTAGTTAGTCATGTCAACCCAGAAATTTTATTCTACAAAGACATGTTTACTTAGTGTAATTGCAGTGATCCAGGTGTTACAAACTTAAAATGACTTCTAGTGTGCTTTGCAAAATAGCATTTATTTATTTTTTGAAATTTTAAAGCATCCTTTCCATTAGCATCTGGAAAATGCTTTTAATCTGGTTCAGAAAAGACTGAAAAGTCTAGAATGAGAACAAACATTTCCAATAAAATTAATGGAACCAATGTTACTCCTTTTTTTTTTTTTAAATAGGAAGATAAATGATCCAGAAAATAGTAGCTTTATAGAATATAGTAAATCATAAATTTCATTATTCGTTCAGAAAAGACTGAAAAGTCTAGAATGAGAACAAACATTTCCAATAAAATTAATGGAACCAATGTTACTCCTTTTTTTTTTTTTTAAATAGGAAGATAAATGATCCAGAAAATAGTAGCTTTATAGAATATAGTAAATCATAAATTTCATTATTCTTACAAAATAAACTTATGTATTTTCTTTTCAGCAGAGAAATGAGTTAGAGAAAATTATAAAAAGTTGGAAAAGAGAATTTTAAAACTGGGTGGTTATTTTGCCATAATTCGTGTGTCAGAGTAAAATTAATTTTTTGATCAGTTCATAATGATGGGCAATCTGAAGTGTTGCGAACTAGATTAAGTCCTTTAGCAAATGTGTAGCTTTTACAAGAACTTTGACGCTTATATTTCTAAGAGGTAAGCAATTAGTTGAAACTGAATTTTGCTGATTTTCATATTTTGCAGATGCTCTGAAATTAACTCATGTAAGCTTTATCCCTGGATTCATCAATTTAGCAATAACAGAAGATCTGCTGATCAGATACGACCAATTTATTTCCCAGATGTTGATCCTCACAGTCTTCCTTCTGGTTCAAACTTCTCTATGACTGCAGGGGATTTTCAAGAAATTTATTCTGAGTGCAGTGAGTAAATGCAAACCTCTAGGCTATCCATGTATCTTCAGAGTATTTGGGATAGTTAATGATTAGAGAGAGAATGGAACTGTGTCTACAAGCACTGAGGAAAACTGTAGAAAAACTGTAGTAAAACTAGCTACTAACTGTAGCAAGATTTTCTTATTCAGAATATTTCTCCAGCTGTATAATAAAGTGCAAATCAATAGGCCTATTTCTTATTCCAAATCAGCTTTTCTTTTCTTCTTAGTTATAAAAAGAATACGGATGCCTCCTTGTCTAACACATCTTGCAGGACCCTTCCTTACAGTTACTTAATTTTCTGAAGATTCTGTCTTTACCATTACAACATCTGATACTGGCAAAAATCCTCAAGACTTTTTTTTTAATTTTATTTACAGAACTTAAAATTTTTGCAATTTCAAGAATAAAATTTTAGAGAAAAACAGGGAGACTCATGCATTAAAAGGTAGATTTTGAAAGTTCCTGCTTGTTAAATTGACCAGTAAAAAACAGCTGGGGAAATATTCAGATACTGAATAAAATGTTTTAAAGCTAAGTGATTTGTGAACGTAGACTTGTATTCTAAATACTAACTAGGGAGCCTAAAATCACTGGGTATTTTTGCAGTTATATTTTTAACAGTTGTCATATGAAGTTCATAGGACAGGTGAGTAATAGCACACTTGAGGTTTCATTTATATAAAATGTTACAACATTTACATTTTACAGTATATATGTCATTTTATGTGTATGACCAATTTTATGAAGTGTATACATAACTATATGTAATGTTTCAGAGTTTGTGTGTACATATACACACTATACAGGTCAAATGAACCCAAACATAACAATTTTTAATATAAACCAAAATATTTTATTTACTTGTAAACAAAATTAGGAGCCTTCGGATGTTGTTAGTTGAAGGTAATTCTGAGTATGTGAACAAATGCCAGGGTTAAATGATGAACTTTCACAGGGTAAAAGCATTCAAAGTAATCTCTGTATACTTTGCTCTTTTTATGCAGATACGTGGGACTGTGTAGCAACTTGCTTTTTCATAGATACAGCACATAATGTTATTGATTACATTGATACTATATGGAAAATACTAAAGCCTGGAGGAATATGGATAAATGTAGGCAAGTGTGACCAGCCTCTCTTTTTGACTTATTTTTGATCAAATAATAGGCATCTAATACTGGAAAAGTGTGTGTGGATGAGTGTGTCTGTGCAGAAAACTGTACAACTAGAAAAATACAGGGCTTGGAAATTATCTCAGAAATGTTCAAAATATGTTCAGATGTTTGCTAGTTACAATCAAGTCAACACCATGTGATTTTTGAATAGGCAAGTAAATCTTCCTAGTGGCAGGTTTAGCATTTGTGCATCAAACATTTGTTATTTGTCAAATGTAGTGTTCTATATTCTTTTTTGCTATTTTCTAAGAAAGTAAAACTTATTCTATGTGTAAATACACTCTTGCTTTTTTTTTTTTTAATGTCTAGTTGGTACTGTGCTTCTAAGCAGACATTTTGGCAATGAGATTTATGTATGCCTTGGATCAAAACAAAAGAGATTTAACTGAAGTCTTCCGTGGTGAAGGAATGTCAGACAAAACTCAGGCATTAAATATTTTGCATAGTAGAAACTGCTCAGTCGCTGGGCAGTCAGTCACTATCCCAGTCCTGGCCAGTCACAGAGTGCAGGCAGAGCTCCTGAGCTTTAGAGAGAGAGGTAATGCTGGGCTGAAGAAATTTTAAGATACAGAAAACACAGTCTGGTGGGGAATGTGACAAACTGTTGAATAAGCAGCTGAAGTAATTTGTTTTAGTTTTGCATTGATTCCGAAATTCATTATAAAAATCGTACTTGAGTGATAGAAATACATTCTTTTGTCAGTATTTATAGAATCATAGAGTGATTTGGGTTGGAAGGGACCTCAAAGATCATCTAGTTTCAACCTCCCTGCTGTGGGCAGGGAACCTTCCACATTTTTGAATATGTGAGTCTGGATATAAGCATTTGTTGTACTTTCAGTATGTGCTCTTGATTTTTAAAACATTTTTGTCTTTTTGATAGCCATTTCTATTGTATCTTTGTACTCTAGGTCCTCTCCTTTACCATTTTGAAAACTTGGGAAATGAACTTTCTATAGAATTAAGCTATGAGGATATAAAAAATGTTATCCTACAATATGGATTCCATATAGAGGTAAGAACGTGGTGCAGTTTGCAATGAGTAGTATTGGTATAAACCAAGCAAACTGCTTTGATAAACCACCATAAATTTAGTTCAACATAATGGTATTTATTAATAACATCTAGGAGTATGTGTTACAAATTATCTGCTTTTCTCATTTTTTAGAGGTTTACAGATGGGCCTTGAAATCTAATATAGCAATTTCTTGTATAGTTTCTGTAGAGAAGCTGTCTTGAAAACTGCTGCTTTGTTTTTAGGTGGAGAAAGAATCTGTACTGTCAACTTACACTGTGAATGAACTCTCCATGATGAAATACTACTATGAATGCGTGTTGTTTGTGGTGAGAAAACCAGAATAGTAGTGGTCTAAATAGGTTAATGAGAAAAAAACTGTTGGCTTGAAAGCTAGAAATGAGGGTAAAATGGTCTGGGTGATGTATGAACACAACCTCACATAGTGGTGCCTTCTTATTCCTAAGAGGATATAGATAGTGTCTATTTTCTTAATATCTCTATTGCTGTTCGGACATACACTATGCCATGCATATTTGTAATATACTTGTGAAGGTGAAGGATGTAATGTTCACATACACTGTCATTGTGCTTTGGAGTGCATTAGAAATAAAAGCAAAAATGTTTTCTTGAGAACAAAATTAAATGTTTGCCATAAGTAGGCTAATTCTCTGCATATGCTGCCTAATATTTCATAGATTTATAGTGATTTTTTCTATTATCTGATATTAGGAATGCATGGAGGTGCTTACTGTGTCATGTTTAGAGAAGTATTTTTAAATGTATACTTAAATTATGAAGTCTGAAATGGTTGGAAAGTGGTAAAATTATTCTTGACAGATAAAATAGCCATCAAAACTGGTAGAGCATTTTCTGTGGAACTGAAATGAAGTAGATTATTGTATAAATGCTAATCTCTGACTGTACCACTGTTAACAGTTTAATTAAAACACAGAGCCTGTGGGCAATTTGAAATACTATATGAAAGCAGAATACTGAGTGAAGAAAAAGCAATGTGTCACAGAGAAGCAGTATGATAACCTCAGTTGAGGAATACTACCAATTTTGATTGAGCTTTGTGTTGAAACTGAAATGTGTTAGATGCTTTGCCATCTTGTAATACACTGATTTTGAGTCATCTGACTGCTTAAGCTAAAACTTCCAAAGTTGATAAACATAGCTGAGTTATCCATGCCATGTGTAGGTAGTACAACATAAAAACATCTGTCGGGGCAGTGAAGTTATGAGAAATAAAATACATTTTTTTTTATTACAAAACAAAATTATAGGCGCATTGTGAAGTTGTAAGGTATGCAGTTCCAAACTGGACTGGGTACCAGGGTTCTTTTGCGGCCGGGATAAGGGAAATATAAAGTTCCTAAAAATTAAAATTAAAAATTAATTTTCGGAGAAAAGGAAGCCTTTTTAGGTAAAAATTAATATATTAAACTTATCTGAAAAAGGATGGGATTTTGTAAAACTATAAAATACATGAAGTTTAAACCCAAGGGGTTTTTCTCCCCAGGACCTTGGTGTGAGATGAGACCGGCTCATGCTGAATAAACCTTTCCTTGGTGATACAGTTCCTTTGTTTCATAGGTAATTGAATCTTTCTAAATTAAATAACAAGAGATTTCTCACAAAGTTACGTGTAAATATGTCCTATAACCTAATCACCTCTGCATGAGTCAGGATATGCAGGATAACTACAGACACTTTATCCTTCTGACTTCTTGGCTTGTTCCTTATACTAATGTGTTTTTTTCCTAGCAGATGTTGCTTAGGTGAATATTTAACGTACAAGTCATGATACTATACAAGAGGCTGAATCTCCTGTCACTTGGAAGTTATGATGTACATGAGAACATTAATTAATAATCACTATTCTGAGTGGAGGTGTCATGTTAAGTATTTTGTTTTCTTAATATATTAATTACCTTAAGTATCATTTTCACGCATTTTCAAAATGGTCTTTAAAATATAAAAGCATTATGAGGGCTCAAGTTTTTTTCATATTTGGCCTTAATGACACTGGTCAATATCTTGTTTATTTCCCATTATTTTTAGTCCTGTCTTTCTTGGTGGTGTCCTAATCACCTCCCTTTAATAGATTTGTTATGGCTTTTGGATTTTTCCAATTAAGGCCAGAAATTTGTGCTTTTATTCCTAAATTCAAAATCTGCAAGGAAGAAAAACACCAACTTTTTTTTTTATAGTTTGAACACCACATAAGAAAGCACGCATCTGTATATCTTTCAGTACTTTGCCCCTTTCCATTCAGAATCCGTATTGAAATAGAGGTTTCTGGTCAACAGCAGTTTTTAAGTATACCATGACTTAAACTAGTCTTACTTGAACTCTTTCTAAAAGTGCACCACCATGACTCAGTTCCACAAATGAGGTATCAAAGGTCAACCCTGCTCCAAGAGAGATGTGTTTCAAGAAGAAACAATGCTATTGCAACATAAAATTAAAAATAAAAATCCTTGCACACTTAAAAATAAAAAAGCCACTTGCTTTAATTTCTGTATTGTACCATTTACTTTAATTTTTGAGGGAATTTATGATTCTTTGCTTTAAATCTGCTTTTTTTCTACCAGAATATGATTAGCATTTTACTTAATTTTCAAGCTCCTTGGAATCAGACATAGCTTAAGTGAATGTAAATTGTGCTATTACTGAGTAGTATATCTATCTGTAATGTTACCCAATTTCTGCCTCCTAGCCCGTCTGTAACTTGGAATGTGGTGTTCCTGCTTTTCACGAATAGGCAATGGGACTCTTTCTTTCTGGTTGAATGTCATTATCCTTTGTTCTGGTAGTTTTGTTCCTTGCCACCCCATGTAGTCACAGTTGCCATTTTTATGTATTTTCTGAAAATGTTTTTATTTGCTTACATCAGGTATAATATGGTGGTGTGCTTTTATTTCTGATCTAGAAAATGCCATCTTCCCCGCACAGTGTTCTTTTAAATCGCAACAGTCACATTAAGAGTTGGAAGTAAAATAATCTTGTGAGTGAGCTGTGTTAGTAGTGTTCTACCTACCTATTTATGAGTTCCTAGAATTCACCACTTGTACTGTTATGAGGGTCGTTGTGTATTATAGAATGTGATCACTGTTCTATTCGGTTGTATACGTGGGGGAGAATGTCCAAGGCGTTCATCAGATGAGACTGTTTACTTTAGGTCGTTATTAAACTGTACATAGTAACAGATGTAAAATAAACTGCTGCATAACCTTAAGTGTAAAGCTTCTTTATATGGAGTTTGACAAATGTAAAATGGCCTGGGTTTTTTTGTTCCTTTATTTGTTTGGGTTTTTTACGTGGTACATTCTGAAATTGGTTGCGAAGATAAGGATGAAAAGTTTCACGTCTCTGCGTCCACTTCCCGCTATTTTACAGAGTGTGTAATGGACCTGTGGCTTTTTGGATATTAAAGCTTGGGGCATGCCTTGATCTCGCTCGTGTTTGACTGCTTTACTGCCGAGTGACTTTCATGGCTGCAGCGCTTCCCGCTCCCTCATCCCGTGAGGAAGTGCGGCGAGAGCCCTCCCCAGCTCCCGGCGGCGGCGGGCGTGGCGCGCATGCGCGGTCCGTGCGCGGGCGCGGTGCATCTGCCGGCGGAGATCGCGAGCTCCGCGGAGCCGCCGGCGCGCGGCTCCTCATGCCCAAGCGGCGCGCGGAGCCGTTGATGTGTCACGTGCCTGTCAAGCGGCTCCTGCGCGTGCCGCCGCTGCCGCGCGCGGCCGAGCGGCGGCCTCGGAGCGAACCGGCGCGCGCCGGCCCGGCCGCCCCGAAGCGGCCGCTGGAAGAGGCGGAGGCGCCGCCGGGAAAGCGGCCCGGGCCCAGCGCCACCCGTGCGCCGCCGGGGGATGGGGAGGGCGGGTGGCGGCGGCGCGGCGAGCCCGCGGTGCCCCAGGACGAGCGGGCGGCGGAAGGATGCGCCGGGGGCAGGGGCAAAGAGCGGACCTCCGCCGCCGCCGAGGTAACGGAGCGGGGCGGGCCGGGCCCCTCGCCTCCGGGGAGGGAAATGGGCGGGCGGTGCCGGTAGCAGCTGAAGTGATACCGCGGGGTGCTGGCGGGCCTTAGCCAGGCACCGTAGAGCGCTCGGTGCCGCGCGGCCCCTTCTGTGCCTTCCGGGGTTAATCCGCCGTGGGCTGTTTAAAACTTTTTTTTTTTCTTTCCTTTTTTTCGTTTTCAAAACAAGAGAAGTAGCATCCAGCTTTCTCAACTCCACTCCCCTTCCTTCCCCCTCCCTCCGCCATGGAAAAACTGATGGAAAACAACCTGCCAAGAGTTCACCTCACTTGAGTCTATACTCTGCCTCATCCCTTTCCCAGGAGCGTGGTGGAAGCTTGGAGAGGTTATTGTAGTAGCATGTCTGTTGTGTGAGGGCGAGGGTCAGGCTCACTTACAGCATCAACACCTTGAACTTCGTGTTTTGCCATTTATTACCAATACCAAAGCTGTCTTTTAACCAAAACATCTTTGGAGTTGCCGGTCATAGGAAGAGCATCAGTGATTTAATGATCAGGGTATATTGAAATTACTTTTCTGATTGACTTTGAACAGCATGCGTTCTTCTTTCTGGTTTGACTGTGCTTTACACAGTAGTTCAGAAAACGAAATTTCGTACCAAGAAAGCTTTAATTTTCCAAAAATAAAATGCTAAGTCAAATTTCACACCTCTCTAGAAGTTTGATGTATATAAACTCAATTCGTGTCCCACCTGGACCTTTTAAGTAAGACCAGAATATTAGATCAAGTGATATGGAAGTAGCAGAAAGCCTAATCTTTGAATTACAATTGAATTACTTTGAATTACAATTGTAGACTGGTTTTGAGGTGTTGGGGCCTTTCACAGTATAACACTCATCTGTAAATCCATCTGTAAAGAAAATGGTGGCTGTTCGTTCTCTTGCTCTGACTTTTCCCGTTTTCTTTATTACTTGGTTGGTTGGTTAGTGGGGTTTTTTGGTGATGGATGGTAGAATTAAGGCAAAAAGGAAAACCTGAAGAAAAATTCTATGTCTTATGAAAATTATACAGCCTTTTTAGGCTGTGCCATTTAAACAAGAATCTCTTTCTTTTTTGAAGAGGGAACAAGTGTGTTTGGAAGCATAGCAATTAAACAAATTGAGCAAACCTCTAAAGAGCAGTTTAACTCCATCACAAATATAACACTGGATTCTTTACTTATCCCTAGGGTTATTTGGCATAGTTTTGTAAGCTTTAGCAGTGATAGGAAGATCAGAAGCCCCTTGAATGTCCACACACTAAAGAGTATTATTCTATATAAAATATTTTTGTAGGACTGTATTTTTAACAGGTTGTTTCTCTAAGTACAGTGTTGTATAAAAAGTGTTCTAGTTTTAAAATAAAGCTTGGTTAGCACCTGAGGCAAGAATGTTTCTTCCAGTTTTTTCCTGCCCATATATTTTAAGTCTTTTATAGAGATATTTCTGATGATGATTTTTAGACCTTTCTGAAAATACAGTGTCTAGGTTGGGATTATTCTTTGCTGTTTGTGACTTGTGTATTTCATTACTTATATTCATAAGCTTGATCAGGATACTGTTAATTTCACACTGTTGAAGTTTAAAGCAATTCCAATTATATTACAGTTGGCCAGAGAAGAAATATTATTTTAATTTTATTTGGAAACCCACTTTTGCAACTAGAGTTGGAACACTAACTCCTTAAAAATTAAACAACTTAGTCCATAGAAACAGAGCATTCCTATCTCTGAGCTTGCTACATGTTGCCTGTCTTGATAGAATTTATTCTCAAAACGTGTGTTGAAACCTATTTAGCTGAAGGTGAATATTTGATTCTTTATTTTACCTTTTAGGTGTGAATATTCAGCATTTGTGCCTGTCTTTTGTGCTTGATGGTTTTTTCATTTTCTCACTGAATTTGGGAGTTACTAATACACTGAAATACTGCTGCTCTGTAGATGTGAAATGTTTTGAGATTAATCAAGCATGTAGTCTGAGTCCACAATTAAGAGTATGCATATTTTTGTGTTTATGAAGTTTTAGATTCTAATCGCTTTGAAACAAGCGTGCAGTCATTTACTCTGTGTATACAAAGTACAGGATTCTGTTTTTAAGTACTTAGCTCTCAGCATAAGCAGAAACTTATTAAAATGTAAAGGGAGTTCAGATTAAACATCTGGGAGTATTTGTAAAGGTAGTTGACAGTTTCTGAAACTCCACTGCCAGAGATTTTTTTCAAAGACTTTGTTTGCCACCTGCCTTGCACAGTTCTGTGTGAGTGAGGCTGCCTAGTTTGAAATACAGACTGGAAAACCATCCCTGCCACACGTTGTTGATTGTTTTTAATGCTGTGCAGTACACTGGCACTGTGTAATTTAATTGGTTTTGGTCTCAATTCTCATTAGTGAGAATTTTTGTTCTTTGTTGTTTTCTGAAGACAGTCTTTTCCCAGTGAGCAAATTCACATTAGTAGTATCCTGCAGGCACAGAGCAAACTTGCTGTGATGAAACATGTGCACCTTTCATCTTCTCTTAATTGTTATAGGTCTTGAATAATGCAGGGTTTTGCAGTAGAAACAGGTTACCTAGTACAACAGATTGTATACAGTTCAGGAGAAGTCTGTGTGGTAAAAAATAGAAAAATGTTTTCTTTAAATGGGCAGTATGGTGAACTTACATGTGTCTGTCTCTCTTTTGGTAAGTGGGAAGAAACATAATTTTTCAGTATGTTAGAGGGGGGTGATACAGCTATTGTTTGAGTGTTACATTTTTTTATTCTGTGGCAAAACCAGACCAATCATTAATTTTTTCAAGAGCCGAACTGTAGAGGCCCAGAAATTTGATGGTGGTGGTGCATACACCACCCCTGCAGGCCACACTGTGGTCTGAGAAATACCAAAACAGTTATACCAGCTTATTTGTTACCACCTGTTACAGCTGAGACAGTAAAGTAAAATATTTAAAAATTCTAATTGTATGTTAGAAAAATGCAAACAGATATTGTGTGGAAATGAATTATTTTAGATTTGTGACAGTATTTACTGTTTTTAAATACCGGAAGGAAATACATGTTCAAGACCTAAGGAACGACTTAAGAATTCCTCTTCTTCTCTGTATTGTGTCCATAGAAACATGCACAGATTGGCCACTGTTTATAACAATGACATGGTTATAAACAGGTAGTGTGTTTTCTAATAGACGTTTAAAACAATTTTTTTTAATGTAATTCCATATTAAAATAGTAAATAAGTACATGTTGCTCCAAGATTTTTCTGATACTGCTTTCCAGTTCTTAAACTTTCCTCTCTTGAGTATTAAATTTAGACACAGAAAAGAAGAAAAAAAAATGTGCTTTAAACACTATGCAATGCCTTATTTATCTTGCAATTATCATCATCTGAGTTGATGTAAAGTAGGTAAATACAGTCTTCTGAATGTTTTAAATGTGCATGAAATTTGCATACTGTTATGAGAGGAAAAAGCAGTGAGCAGTTTTTGTATGCAAAGTTCAATAATTGCACAAGTTTTACAGTCTTTTTCTGTGCAAAGGTTGTAAGTTGAAGAAATTGGTGCAGTTATGAATGTATTTCACAGAGGTTGTGTGAGAGTTCTTTGCAAGAGTATTTAAAAAGGCAGAATAAATTGTGATTTACTTCAAAATCATACAATTTTAAGAACTGTTAATATAGAACAGCTGAATAAGTCCTCCTTGTTTTAGTTTCTTGCATAAAAAGTTTCTTTTTACTGCTGGGATACAAATTAATGTTTTGTTGCCTCTTTGTCTATTTGTCTCTTTTCAAAGCAAGAAGAATTCTGTCCGTATAACTCGTTCCTGTATTGGAGAGCACCACTGCCTACTATTGATTTGTCTGATATTCAGAACCTAGTTGGGGAGACTCCATCAAACACTAGAACTCCTTCGAAGACTGATACCACAGAGACTGAAATGGAAACCTGATCAGTTGTTTCATAGTTGTACATTTACTTGCTGGAAACTTGTTTCCAGTGGGATTCAGGTTTTGTTACTTGGCTGAATAATAAGCATGCTTATGCCATCTTGAAGAAACTGTTGTGGCAGTCTGCAAAAGCAAGTCTGAGTTGCCTAAGTGAATGGGATAATCGGTATTGGGTACTTTATAGTAAGCTCTCTGGAGGTGTGCAGTATGGAGGAGGCTATGATGCCTAACGAGAATACTTGAAAACATGGAAGAAGACTAAAAGAAGAATACAGAAAATAAGAACTTAAGGTGCAATTAAAAAAAACAGGTGGATATGTTACATATCGAAGGGAAATGGAAAATCATTTTGTCTGTCCTAAACAAAAAGATGTAACTGTGGTACCTGAAAGTGAAATATTTAACATGTGAATTTATCATAAAGCACATAATCTGTAGTGATTTTTAATGTGATTTTTTTCTGTGTAATAGCTAAACCAAAAATTAAGAGTCTGTCAAGACCAGACAAAACATTCCCTTTTCTATGCAAACTAAAAATTTGTGTGGCAGAGAGGGGGAATGAAAAGGGGATATTTTCTTTTGTAAGCTGCCATTGTTCTGAAAGTTTTTCACATTCTCATTGTGGAAAAGTTTTTTCCCTTTCTTTTTTTCACATTACACATAATAGTTGACACCCAACTTTTAGGGTTTCGGTCCATTCTCAGACTGATATTCTTAGTCTTTGTGACATTAGCTCTGAACCAGTTGGTAGCGTCTAAACAGCAGGTTTGTGCAGATGTGTCAAAAAAAGTTAATGCAATATTAAATTACCGCATATAGTTTTTCAGACTGTACTGACTGAGGTGTAGTTTTTGCAGAGACTATGAATTTTTGCAGAAATTTTTTACCAAAGTTCATTGAATTAGTGTTTTTTTGCTGTGAAATACAAACTTAATGCTTGTGATTTGCAGTTTATTTACAAATTGAAGTATAATTAGAAATAATAGACTGAAGTTTTATGGGAAGACTGTTACATTTTGCAAATATGAATTGTCTTTAAGGATAGAAAACATTGTATTTTTCTGGAATCATCATTAAAGAAGGCAACTTTTGAATTTCATTTTTTTTAATAATGTATTTGCTAAAGGACAATAAAGTTTTACCTGCATGTATTTGAAAACTTTGGGACTCTTACTGTGTGAAGTTCTTGACTTTATTTCTTAAAATTGTTGCTTCTGTAACTTTGTTGATTTATTAGGTCTATTTGCTTAAAATAGTCAGCTCGTTAGCTTTCTTGGTAAACATTTGAAAACTTTTTTCCAGTGTTTGTGCTGTATAGGTATCTGTATTTGTTTATTGCATATTCATTTAGCTTGTTAGGGTCTCTGAATGCCTGCTGAAGAAAGGATGAGGCTTAGTGACTCAAGCATTTCATGCTTGTTTGGATATGCTTCAACTTTCTGTTAGATTAGCTGGATACGTATTTGGACAACATGTATTTTTCTCAAGACATTTTTAACATTTTAAGTCCAAATACATCAACTTGTCTTTGGAGGTACTTGAAAAATCTTTTTAAAAACCTTTTCTGGCAAAAATGCAACTATTTCATGTTTTCTCTCACCAAAATAAATTAATAAAGAAATAGATTTATTAATTTGTTGAGGTGTTTGATTTGGTTACATTACCTAGGATTTTTTTTTACCCTTGCTAATATATGTGTTCCTATGTTTGTGGGGTTTATAATATTTCACACCATCCAGTGTTCTCAGGATCCAGTATTTCACATTATTAGCTAGTATCTTTGCATCACACTTTAGTCACTTAAAACCTGCTTGGTGGTTCATACACAATAAGTATGTCCTAGCAATAGACTGCATTTTAGTGTTAAAATCTGTCTTTCCAGTGTACTCATGAGACAGGAGATGTTAGTGTCTTTGAAATACATATTTGATCTATTCCATAACAAAATAAATAAGTCCTTTAAAACAAATTAAGCTTGCAATGTGTTGTAGGCTGTACGTTTACTTCATTTGCAATTATGCTGTAGGCAAGCACTTTCGTCTTAGTTTGTTCCAGTTGTAGACTCCGTAATGGACTGGAATGTTACAGCTACTTTTAGAGCATTTGCCAAGCTGATTAATTTTTTCCATTCATCTGTTTGCAAATAGAGGTAAATTTAAAAGCCTTGGAAAACTTTTTGAAATTACTCTGAGAGTTCGGGTTATGCAAAAAGCTGGGAAAGGTAATGGGGACTGATGATAGGTTACATAAACTTTGCTTTAGAGCTGACAAAAGGTGTGATTGAGAAATTACATTTCGCAGTGTCTGGTGTCTCCAGATGCCATGTGTCACTGTGAACTATCAAAATGCTGGTCTTGACTTTTGACTCCATTTTTCTAGAGACCTTTTGTTCAAAAGCTGTATAAAAACTATATGTAAGCTTAAGATGTTTTAATTTGCCAGAACAAGTCCCGAGACAATTCATTAGCTACATACTAACTGACAATCTTAATTTGATGTTTTTGAATCTCGGGAAAAAAATTGTTTATATTCTCTTCAGGTACCTGGGAGTTTGCTATTTTTTAAAATATTTCTGTCTAAAAGGAAAGCTCAGCATCACAAGTGTAAAGGGTAACTGTACCTAGACACCACCCAGGTGGTGTCTTGCATCTGCAAGTAAATGTATAATAGTAAGTCAAATGCTTGAGTTCAGTACGCTTGAGTTCAATATGTTTCAGAGCAGATTTAAACAGCAAAGTAGTACACGTCTTTGTAAATTTTCTGCATCATTCTAAACGTGAGGCCTGTTTTACACTGTCTGATTTGTGTTTATTGAAGGCCTGCTTTATAGCTATGGTTCCCAAGATAGATAAGCCTCTGGGAGAAGCTTAAAGCTCAGTCCAAATCAGGAAGGTGAAGAACTGCTATGGAAAACAGGCTGCACAGGTAACCATGTGTTGGGTAAGTAGACAGTGGTAGAAAGAAAAGAAGAAAAAAATTGGGTAATGAAAGGTAGATGATGATGAAGTAGTGCAGCCTATGGGTGAAAGTATAGTTGGCCAGCAGATCAATGACAAGAAACATTATTTGCAGCATTAGCTCCAGCACAGCAACAGTACACTAATTTGAATATGAGTATCAACAGTAAATTTATTAGGTTTTTCAGTGTTTTGACAGTTACTGGATGATGTTTTTTCCTGTTGGAAAGGCCAAGAATTTAGTGGACAATAAAAAAGCACATGCTTATGTATATAGGTTGTTGAAAAGTCCACAGGGTGCTTCATGAAGAAGATAAAGAGTGCGAATGTACATGTGTCTTTCCAGGTGACAAGATAATTAATGTCCAGCATTTGCCAGCATGTTCTGGTTTACAGCAGATTCATTGTGGGGAATTCATGTACACTTTTGTGAAAGCATCTCACAACTGCTGCAGTAAGAGGTGTTAGACTGCAGAGACTCACTGTTTGCTGCAGCAAAACTTATGCTCAAAGAAACATTTCATAATAATTAGTACGCCTGGGCTGGCTTAATTATTTCCATGGCTACAGTTATAACCTTGACTCTCTAGGTGGCAATACACATACACAGTAAGTTACAGTGAATCTGAAAAATGGTTTCGGTATGCTTTTATTCTGAACTGCTACTGAAAATTCAAGCAGTGACATCATGAATGCTAATGATTTCCTTACAGTGATACATAAATAAAGGCAGATCAAGTCACAAGTTCCTGATCATAAGGTGACACAAGGTTTTCAGCATAACTAGAGTAAAAACATCGTGGCAAGAATTTTTGATTCATCTCTTAATTATCTCTTCAAGTCCCTTGCCTGGAAAAAAACCAAACCAAAAGCAACCAACCAAATCCAATTATCAATTTAGTACACGGGAATCTGTTGACACTGCTTCATAGTACTGTTTCCTTTAGTCAGAACTGGGGAACAAGGTTTATCTGATTGTGTGTTGGATGGAAACCTTGATCGGTGGCTGAAGGCTACTTGAAATGTAAAGTGATAATATGAGGGAAAAAAAGGTAAGTGGTAATTCATAAGAAACTAACTCATAAAGAAGTATTTAAATGTTTGTATATAGGTAACTATATTTGATGTGTATGAGGAAATTTCAAATAGGGTTTTTCTGGTGGTCTTCTTAAACTTCCTAGTTCATGCTTTTTGTATTAGAGAATTTGATGTTGATGTATAGTGTACTTTAACAGTCTATTTTAATTGCTATTGCATTTGTAAGTGAACTGATTAGTTGTTAATAAGTATGTTTTAAATACTCATGGTGAAAAAAATAGTGTTCATGACTTTTTAGTCACTTCTAAGGACTTAAAAATCATTGCTTTTTCTTCTCTTAAAGCCCTACAGGTAGTAAATAACTTTTTCCACTGCTGAAGGGAAAAAACAGTTTTCTTTAAAGTGATATGTCACCATTACCAGGAGAAAAAATGTGAAATCAGGAGGGAGACAAAGTAAATTTTTGTGAAGTGTCAAATGCCCCTTTCTGAGGCCTGATGCTTTATGGTGGATGTTTCCTTTTGATGCTTCAACTTGTAGAATATGAAAATTGCTTTCAGTTTCTTTTAATTCCTGGGATTTAAAAAAACCTAATTTTATTTCTAATTGTGTAATTATTAAGTAAGAACTACTTTGCTTAAAGTAAACTATCAAAATCATTTGCTTTCATGATTGCTAGCTGGTAACTGCAGTGCTTTTTAAATCAGATAATCACAAAGGGTTGCATCTGTGTATCCTGTAATATTTTTTCTACTTTTAAGAAATTGGAGAAACTTGTGGTTGAAAAGAGAAAAGTCTACTTCAGACAAACCTCTGTATTTCCAAATATGTAATGTAAAAATACAGGGACAACAAAGACAGCTTTTAATTGTTTAAATTTAACTTGTAAAAATAATTCAAAACTATTATTGTGAAATATGGTATGATATGAGAAGGAAAGGTATGGATAACAGGCAAAAACTGTTTAGACTTTGGACGCATCAAACCCAGAGTGTGAATATCAAAGTGCCTTAAATTTCTATGAAAGCACAAAGCTTCAGGAAGAAATTGTGCTGGATTTGGTGTCCAATATGGTAGTGTTTTTTCCTTAGGTCCATACATGCAGTGCAGAGATGCCCAAAGTGCTTTCAGTACTCCAGCTTAGTTACTGGAGTCCCTTTGAGTCAAAGAAATAGATACTGAGTCTGCCTACTTTCTTACTAGCTTTTATGCTAACAAACAGTGTAAAAGGTATTTTTCTTTCTCATTATTTTGAGCCCTGAGACAGGTTCTGGTACATACATTTCAATGCATTCCTTTCTCCCCTTTTTATGTTGTGCAGTTTATTTGTGAATGTCTTGGATTTGTCAGTGCTAACTAGTCCAATCACAGATAATTTTGGGATTTCTGTTTTACCTTTTTTCAGGTGGTCTCAAATTAAAGTGAGGTCAGAATTGCTAATTTGTAAAGACCAGTTATTTCAATAACAAATTCAGGAATCAAAACTCTTTAACTCAAATTCCTTGGACCACATTCTATGCTGATTACCAGCCTCTGTGATTGACTTACAGGAATAATAAAAGTGCATTATTAGATTTTCAGTAACCAAAATTAGAAACACTTTGCCTTTTAAAGATACAATGTTTGAAGTTCTCTAATCTAGTTGTACTGTTTTACTAGAGATTTTAATAGTGGAATTTGATTTTTTGAGATGTATTCTGATTTGTAGTTTTCTAATTACAGCATACTCATTCTATAGAGGATTTGTGCTTTCAGGACAGTGAGCAGTAACTCTACTAATCTTTACAAGAACAGGTCCTTTTTTGTCTTAAGTCTCAAGCAGTCAAGGAAACAAATATCAGTATTTTAGTGTGTTTTCTTAAATTGAAGATCTATTTGATCATATAATAGATTTTTAAAAAATAATCAGTCATACCAGTTTGAACTAGGGATGCAACCAAACTTGTTTCCTCTCCTAGGCTGCTCAGTTTTATCTCAGAAAGGAAAAATACTTAAAATGGTTTCATGTAAGGTAACAAACTCCTTAATTTCCTGAATAGAAGTAAGCTTAAATTTACTTTTCGTTCCTTTTAGAAATCTAGGCACCTAAAGGTGAAATTAGAGCAGCCAGCAACACACAGCCAAGTTAATGTTTGAAGATTTATGTTTTGGTACACTTCTGTCCTTTATTATGG